TGGAAACCTGATTATAACAACAGATCCACTCCTAAATAAGGCCAATCCTGGAATCAGTTCCATTTAGAAACCATTATGTGCTAGGCACTGGAAATAAGGTGAAGCTCCTTCTCTCTTGGAGTTTAAGTGTTAAAGGTGTACCAGACAATTAAAAAGGACTAAAATTAAATAGATTATGAAAAGGACTGTGAAGAAAGTAAACTGGGTGCTAGTTACAGTATTTCAAGAAAATTACTTAACATGCTGACTTTAACATTCTAAGTGTCTTCTCCATGTGTCCACACAGGGTAGACCTCTGAAAAGTGACACTGTAGTTTTTTCTAGATTAATGGCTCTGTTGAGACAAGGTGGGATGGGGGAAGTTTTCCCATGCTAACGTAAAGGGCGATTGACTTGGTTTTAAACTCTCTTTCCCAGAATGAATTGCTCGCCTGCCCCAAACCCCTCCTACAGAAGTTCTGGAGTCATCACTGATTCAGTGGTAACCCCTAATAACACAGTTGTGAATGAATAATGAGGCGTGAATACTAAGAGTTTGGTGGAAATGGCAACATTTTCGAATAATTGTAAGGTGTGTTCCCCTTCCGCCACCCTAACTGGTGCTCATTTTGCAGGTCAGCTGCTTTTCTTGTCAGCCGTGTGGCCAAAGGGAGCAAGAATGTCTCTCAGACTTCAGCTTTGAGGAGGAAGAGTTCAGATTGCCAGAACTGGACTAGCACTTTTGAATTTCCCAGAATGCCAGGTCCTGTGGTTTCCTCGGGAAGCTCTGCATCCTTCCCTCCTCCCTCCACCACTGGGTTGCTGGAGTTTGGGGCCACGGGTCTGCAGCCCAAATTCCGCCTCATTGTTTGGGGCCAGGGAGGGCAGGGCGGGGTTGGGAAGAGGGCCCGGCAGGAGGTAATTGTCGCGTTTGCAAGGGGAAGGATGGCTTGCGCCCTGGGGACTCTGGGGAAAAGGCCCACTCTGGTGGCGCGGATTGGATCTCCGCACGAGCCTAATAACGGTGGCGTAACTAAAGACGTCATAAATAACGGGTTGGACGTTAGGCGGGGGCGGGGCGCGCGGTTGCTAACGTGAGCCGTCGCGTCGGCGCTGGCATAGCGGTTCAGCTCGGACGCAGGATGTGGCTCCGGCTCCTCACTGGCCTGGGTCACTGCCCCTGGAGCCGTCGCATGTTTTGTCCCGGCTGCGCCATTGGTTGCCACGGCTCTTCCTCACATGGCAAGGACGGTGGCTTCTAGTCCAGGCAGTTCAGCCTCCGGAGTGGGCCCTCGGCCCCGTCCAGGTGAACCCCAACCCACCGCGGCTGACAGAGGCTTGGTCTTCACAGGCCTCAGACCCTCCTCCCAAATTGCCACAAGCCCTTACACCGCTGGTAGAAGCCAAGGGCTTTAATTACTTAACGTCCTTGTCTCCAGTCCAGATGTTGGCCCCGCCTCATCAGGAGTTGACTGAGACTGAGGTTCCATACCCGGACACGGATTCGGTTGGAGAGCTGCCTACAGGGCCAGATCAGTTTGCTGTTCCACATCAGGACCTGAATAACAAGCAAATCCAACATCAAAAGCTCCCAGAGGCAGTTCCAGTGCTAGACTGGGATCAGAATCAGCCCTTGGTTCTCCCTTCTCGACACAAAAGTAAGACTAAACACATAGGTCTAGATGAGGCTGAAGGTCACCAATCATCTGAAATACTTGTTCCACCTGCAGGTAGTAACAGCTCAAAACCAATGAAGTTTATTGTTTCACCCCCAAACCTGAAGAAAGATCTAGTTCAGCATCAATGGCTTGACAAAATTATTGTTGGAACTATAGGCCCATTTCAAAAAAACACTCAGGGTCTAGAACGACAGTTGCGGGTGATTATTTACATCCTAGTATGGATGCCATTTATCCTGAGGAGAGCCTACCTAGGGATTATTTGGGGAGCCCTGATGAACCTACGGAACCCCCTGAGGAAGCTGAAATTTCTCCATCCCAGCAGGATGGCCCAGTGCTAAGTTTGATCACTTGATTAAGGTGGTTTCTTCCATATCTCTCCATTGTAAAGTTATTTTTCCCTTTGGTAATTGATAACTAATCTGTGGGGTGATACTTTGGGATCAGTGAAAATCCTACTTTCAAACAACTCTTCACCCAACTGTGCATCAATGATAATCTTTGTCTGAATCGATTATTACGTTGATAGTTGCAAAATGACACTTCTCTATTCTATCACCCATTTTGCATTTAATAGCTGACATTATTCTATACAGAAGAGCTCCCCCACTTTTCATTTTGAGTATCACTATGAACTCATGTGCTTTTTTTAAAATTAACTATGTTATACCTTATTATAATGATAATGTTATTCTTTGGAATGTTCCTTTTGTCTAGATTTGGCCAATGCGATCTCTGTTATTGTTTAACCACACGATGCTTTTTTATTACTAGAATAACTTCTAATATATTACTACTCACAAATGGGAACTGAGAAAGGGATTCCTTTCTCAGTGCGGTCTTATTCAGACTCTTCTTAGAAGTCTGCCTTCTTCCTGTGTACTCTCAACCCAAAGTGAGGCATTTGGGTTGGAAGGAGATACTTCTGAATTAAACTACAGATCAATGTCACCCAATTCTAATACCTATTCCCTTTTTTCTAGGCATACCATATCTACTGCCATCCTAATCCTTCTGTTCGGCACTCCTCTCCTCCTCTATATTTATTTACAACAGTCAAGAGCAGCAATTGGCAAACCGGCCCTATTCAGTTCTCCAGTCCATATGCCCCAAGAACTCTTTTTTGCACTGGTCTGTGGTGGCCTTGGCCTACCTCTTCTACCTACTCAAGTAACTCTTTTACCACAAATTTAATTATCTGTGTTTCCGTTTTAAGGATCTTACCTAGCCGTATGGCCTCCTGCCTCTGCCAATTTAAAAATACCATTGAGGTTGTCTGTAAGAGAGTCAAGCTGTGTTCTGACAATGGATGCCTGACAGACTTCACACTTTGTGGTGAGTCTCAACTGCGGGATAATAAATTTTTAATTTAATTTTATTTTTAATACATGATGATAATTTTAAAATTTAATTTAAAATTAAAATTAATGATGTGATTTCATTATTATAATTCATTCATTCAGAGTTCCAGCTCCCTAAGTTTCTAAGAACTACCCCCTTGGTAAGAATCAGAGTCTTGGTTACATTATTAAGCTAATAGTTGCTCAGTTACATTGTTAGCTTAATAATGTTACTGATCCACATACATAAAGGGACAAGAGAAAGGAATGGAAGTGGGAAGGGAATTAACATTAATGGTCACATATCCTATGCTGTGCTCTCTGCAAATGAGAACTTATTGATATTGTGCATCACAGTTTGACAACTGATTTTATATACATTAGGTCTCAAGTACCCTTTGTCTTATAGGACAGGTGTAAATATATTTTTGTTTCTGCAATTTTATAAAGAGTACAAGTGATGCTGTTTTATGTCCTATTTGGAGCCTGAGATTTCTGGTTCCATAACCGGAAGCTGCTACCTAGCCCTTCTAATGGAATGGAGAGCTAGTTTATTCTTAGACTGTCCAGCTCTGAACTTACTCTGAATCTCAAGCTTTTCTATCCACAAAGCACTCAGGGGCTTTCAACTATTTTTCTATATATTAGATTTATTGGCACTAAATTGGTGACTTCCAAAATGTGCTTTCATGCCCACGTAGCTTGAATACAGGTCTCTATCACTGAACTAGAGCACATGATAAATAATAACACTTTGCTACTTATATAAAGACAATATTGTTGATTTTTCAACACAACTTTTTTTTTGTCTGTGACACACAGCTTGTGAGATCTTAGCTCTACAACCAGGGATTGAACCCAGGCCACAGCAGGGAAAGTGCTGGGTCCTAACCACTTGACCACCAGGGAACTACCCCAAACAATTTTTTTACTAGTTGTATTACTCCCTTCTCCCCCAGAAGTGGGCAAAAAAGGCATTTTTAATCTCCTTTTACAGGTGAGGAGAAACAAGATCAGAGGTGTTAAGTGCTATGACCCTAGTGCCCTGATCTCCTCTCCCCAGTTTCGGGCTCTCTGCAAGCCCATCCTCCTTCTTTCTCATGACACATCCCTCCTCTTTGACCCTCAGGAAAAATACTTTTAATCCTTTTGGAAGAGAAGCCCAGCTACACAATGGTACACATTACCTTCACACAGCCAGAAGCTTTGGATGGTTCCCCAAGTAAAGCTGGAAATATTAGAAGTAAAATGAAATGAAAGCAAAGTAGCCATCTGACAGAAGTTGCTTTTTCCCTTCTGCATTTTGGACCTCAAGTATTATTCCATTGATTTTTTGAACATTCCACATTGCCATACAATTGGGCAAATCTCTTAACTTATACCCCAGATCCCTGACCAAATTTTAGCAAAGAGCTCGGGTGGACGTATTGTTTTCTTTCTGTATAGAGCCTTCTGTTATGAGGGCTGGGATATATGGAAGCAGGGACTGAGCAAAGGACTCGGTGGGTGGGTGGAGAAGAAAATGTCCAGATGACAACCTGTTAACAGTGATTGTTGTCGTGGTCATCTGTGATAGTAGCAAGGACACAAGCACACTAAAGAGGTGGATAGAGGAAGGCTCACACTCCTCTGCCTCTGAGGAAGGACAGGATGGGGTATATAAATTTGAGGAGTCACAGTAGATCTGCAGAGAGTCCAGCTGAGTAGGGGAATATTTGTCTTCCAGCCTTGGATTTTCTTCATTTCTGGCCCCTGGGAACCAGTGGAGTAATCCTGAATATAGTTAGTATATTTCACACTACAGAATTTTCTGAGTAGATAGCCACTTTTTCAAGAGATATCTTTTTCGCATTTTGTTGTTGCCAGTCATAGGCTTAAGTGTGGGTTTCTTTTTCTCCTAAGTGGCACTCAAACGTTGACTGATTCCTAATTTATTTGGCTGTGGACTGACTAAAGGCTGTCCCATCAGTTTTCAATGATTGAAAACAGTTATTTTTGACAGATGAAGAAACATCTATAGGGAATGTAGAAGAATCATTGATGAAGGTGTTACAAGCCTGGAAGAAGAACAGCAGCGAGCTGACTATTGAGTCAGAGAGGGCATCCTCAGATAAAGTGCTGTCAGCTTGTCAGGCTTCATGAATGAGCAGGTGGACTTTAATAGTAAAAGTGATATTATCAGTGCACTGAATTACATACTGCCTTTTATCTCAGAGGGAAATCTAGGAGATGTGGAATCAACATTATTACCATTCATTCAACTTCTTTTTTCAAATACACAAGTTGGAGATATGCCACTGGGCAATTTGAAAATCAATACAAGGAGCCCTTCTGTTAAACCTGTACCCAACAGTTCAACTAATAAAAATAAATTGAAGAAACTTCACTTTCTGGAAAATTTGTTAGATGCAGAAACTGAGGAAAAATTTGAGGAGGTGAAAAAGGAAGAAAAACCTGCCACGCATACGCGTTCCAACCATTTAAGTGTCATGTTTAAACTCTACATCTTTCAAAAGAAATTGGAAGCTGCCCAACCACAGAAAGACAGCCTAGCAAAGACTGAGATTACAGAGAAACACCTGCTGGGAGTGAACAGGGGCCTCAGGGGCCCAAGGGGCATACAGAAAATGCACCTCAAAGCAGTGGGAGATGAGAGCGTCAGGAGGAAACGGAATGCCCAGCCATCTGTGGCAAATACTGCCGAAGAAAGAAGGCTCAGGAGGCCATCACCAAGAAAGCTGAAACAGCTTCTCATGGTGCAGAGGCCCAGGAAGCTGGTGGGAAAGTCCTCCAATGCAGAGTCTTCATTCATAAAGAAACACAAGGCAGCAGGCTCCACTTCCCTGAAGCGGAGGCCTCCTGCCTCCATCCCACCAAAATCCCCATCTGAGGTTAAAAGCAAATCAAAAGACTTTTCCCACACTATTTTTGTTTTAGAAGCTGTAAAGGCGAGAGCTAGAAATATTAAGGCTCCTGAACTAATCTCACCTTCTGGTGAAAAATACATCTTCCATAAAAATCAGTCTCATCGGGTCCACAGAAAACCCAAAGTCAAAAGAAGTCGAAAGTTCAGAAAGAAAAGTTCACTCAATAGAATGATGCTTGCAAGCTATCCGTTCTCTGTAGTGAGGAGTCTCATAAATTCCCCTCCACGAGAGGCTGTTTCACCTTCAAGAGAAGTGACTTCTCAGGAAAATAGTTTTCCAGCATTATTTTCTCTTTCAGACCATTTTACAGAAAACACTAGTTCAGAAAACAATACTGCGCAAAATGTTTCTGAAGAAATTATTTCTACAGGAAACTCTACTCTGCCAGGAGGACCCGGCCCTGGAAACACTACCCATAGGAACGTCTTCACTGCACATTCTACTGTTGCTGCAGACAGCAGTATGCCGACTGTTCAACACACCAACAAAACACAATGGGAGGACCACAACACGGGCACTGAATTATCCTCCGAGCCCACAGGCTTCACTTTCCCAGGGCTCACATCCCCAGGTGATCAAGTTGAAACTCAGCTAAACCAGCAGCTACGGTCCCTTATCCCCAGCAATGACATGCGAAGGCTCATTTCTCATGTTATCCAGATTTTGAAAATGGACTGCTCGGAGACCCACGTGCACTGGCCTGTGCCCACCTCATCTCTAAAACAGGACTCCTGATGAAGCTTCTCAGAAAGCTGCAAGAAGTAAACGTGTCCAAAGCGGAATGGGATACGGACCAGTGGAAAACTGACAACTATATCAGTGAGAGCACAGAAGCCCAGAGTGAGCAGAAAGAGCAGGAGTCAAGTGAGGTAAGGATAACCCCTGACACATGGGAGCTGGACTTTTACTCAGTTTAGGACATGCCATTAACGTGCCCAAGCAGGAATACCACGGGCTCCTAGTCTGTAACTTATCTTCAGCTATGAAACTGGCTATGACAGTGATCTCCCACTTTGCTCGTTTAGAAAGTGTGCCACTATTCCTAGGGTAGATGAGAAAAGGCATAACACAAGATAAATAAATTGTAGATAAATAAATTGTAGAAGAAAATGCTAATGATAAGATTAATAACATTAAATTTGGCTTGTTCTTATAGAAGCTACTCGCCTGAAAGGATTGGGTTTTATAGTATTTTAAGAATAGTTAACTATCATTTAGAATAGGATTAAACATAGTTAGCTTTCATCCCTTCCATCTCCTTGTTTTTAAAAACTTGTTATTTATTTTTTCTAGCTCACAAAAGAAGTTCCAGGATATGGCTATAACAACAAACTCATCTTGGCAATATCTGTAACTGTAGTAGTGACGATTTTGGTTACAATTCTCTGTCTCATTGAGGTAAGGACGATAATTAATTCAGATTCAGAACCCACAAACTGAGAATCAAAGCCACCTTTCCTCCTACTACTATTTGATTCTCCTCTTTAATCATGAGGAATGAATACACTTTGTTCTTTTACTAAAAACTATATTCCCAGGATTTTGTTTGTTTGTTTGTGTTTGTGGTTTTTTGTTTGTTTTTTTTTGTCTGCATTGGGTCTTCATTGCGGTGCGCAGCCTTCTCATTGTGGTGGCTACTCTTGTTTTGGAGTATGGGCTCTAGGTGCCCGAGCTCAAGAATGGTGGCACACGGACTTAGTTGCTACACAGCATGTGGGACCATACCAGACCAGGGATCAAACCCGCATCGCCTTCACTGGCAGGCGGAATCTTAACCACTGTGCCACCAGGGAAGTCCCCACAGGATTTTTAAAGGAACTCCACTCCCAGGAGATCTCTATGGAATTGGTTCCATGGTAACAAGCCATTGGACTATTTTGACAAGTTAAGTTTATAAGAAGGCCAGGGTTGACATGATAGTAAAATTTCTTCAACACAAAAAACTATGCTGATTTCATGTACTCACCAGTCACTCTCATTCTACTGTTGATTTCTTTCCTTGTTGGCTGAAATGATGAGACGTATGGGATCTCCATACTCATGGAGCTATCAGTCACCCTGGGAGGTCTAAAAGGACATGCCTAAAAGATAAAAGTGTTGATCTCATCAATTCCTTAGGTTACTTAGCAGCATTCTTCTCCGGTGTATTAGGAATTGTGTAGATAGGTTCCATTAAAACACTGCAAGTAAAATCCTGCAGCAGGCTACCCTAAAGTATGTCATATTTATAGTAGCCTGTTCCTGGACCTACCCTGTTTACCTTTTGTTCAGTTACATAATGGTTTATTACTTTTCCCAACAGGCAGTTACTAACATTAAAAGAGTGACTTTAATAAGCTGACAATCTTGATTCTACCCTACCAATCCAACCTACTTTATTTACCATTTCTCTTGTAATGGCAGCCCCCAATTCCAGCCAAAGCAGCTCCTCACTATACACTAGTTACACCATACCCATTCCTACTTTTGTCTGTGCCTTTGCGCATTGAAAATTCCTTTATTTTGCTTTGCCTGTGGAAGTCCTATGAATCTCTCAAAAACCAACTGAAGTTCAGATATCTTTCTTCATAAAGCCTTCCCTGAATACTCCAACCCTCCTGATCCTTGTCCTGTGAGGTTTGTCACCATTTCTTAGGGGCCATAGCAAAGCAGTCCCCTCCCCTCAGAACTCACAAAAGTTGTAAGCAGTTTTTTAGAAGGCAGCCTCCCAAGAGAGAAACACCAAGGTTAGCACATCGTGGAGCTAAGCAGAGATGTGTAAGGACCAATGGCTTCCTGGCCTATCAGACTTGAATAAAACCTGACATGATGTACTAACTTCTCAAGAGAAATGTGTCTATCTGCAGGAGGTTGGGTCAGTAGTGAAAGCATAGAAAAGGTGAGGAGAGAACAACATGGGCAGTGCCCATCCTCGCATTGCCTGAGAGTAGAGATGGCATCTTAGGCAGCATAACTGAAGAGTCAGGCCCCGTAGCCAGGCTGTGCCTTTTGAGGAGATGGACGGATGAAGCTACTTCAGGCCTTCCCATTAAATTCTCGATTCAGCTGATTCCTTTTCTAATTCTGTTCTCACCAAGTAGCCTTCGATTGTGTGATTGTGCTTTAGTGTGCCACAGAGGCCTGTCTCCACACAGGGTAATTCACTGATTGTGCAGACACGGATGCCCTGTGTGTAGAACAGGTGTATTTCTCATTGTCAAGTAATAATTTGGCATTCTGATTTTTGATCAATCCTGTGATATTGATAAAGTGAGACCGCCACAACAGGAAGACATGAGTTCTCTCTTGGTGAGGAAGAGTATGATTTCTGAGCCTAGGAGGCTGGGGACTAGCATGGGCTCAGCTTGCTAGTCATTGGCCATTGCCCAGACTGTACCCTCTACATCTCCAGCTGACATATGGCCTTTTGCTTTTTTACAATTTCTGTAAAGTACCCTTTTTATTGTTTTTAACTTCTATGTAGTTTAACCTTGCATTTGTTTTGTTTTCGCCTGAGAGATCTTAGTTCCCCAAGTAAGGATTAAACCTGTACCCTCGTCAGTGAAAGCAAGCAGTCCTAAACGTTATTTCCTCTCCCCACTTATATGATAAGCTTTTTGAGGACAGGGGCCATGCAGTGCTCTTCCTATTGTAGACAATAATGGTGTTCAACGGAAGAGAGATGAGGCATTATGTCAATTCCACAGTGAGGAATAATGCAGCCGAATATTTATTTGAAGTAGCATAGAGTCCAGCAATAGACCCATGTTTTCTTAAGACTTTTGAAATGTCATGTTTTAATATTCGAATCAGTGGGAAAAAATGAATTAATGGTGATAGAATAGCTGCCTAACAATTTGAGGGGTAAATAATAGCAGTTCCCCATTTTTCATCTTAAATAAACATATTTCCATAAATGTGAAGAAAGACCACATAAAGGTATTAGAAGAAAATAAAAGCAATATTTTTATAATCTTATGGTGGGAAAGAGCCTTCAGAGCCTGATGCCACAAGCAGAGCCTTTGGTATATTCCACCATCTTGTCTGTGACACCAGCTTAGCACTGATTCATGCCAAACGTAAGAGGAAGAGTTTTCCATATATTGTCTGATTTAATGCCTACAGTCCTGTAAGGATGATATTACTATCCCTCCTTCATAGATGAAGTAGATCAATGTAAGGCCCCAGTGGCCAAGCCAAAAGCAGAAGCCAGTTTCACCCGACTGCAAAGCTTGTGCTCCCTACTGCACTCTTTTTTCTTGTCTCCTTAGAGACAAAAAAAAAAAAAACCTGGAAAGATTCGAAACACTGAAATTCAATGAAAACCAGTATTTCTTTACTATAAGGAGTTTTTTGTTTGTTTGTTTGGGCGTGGCGGGGTTTGGCCATGCTGTTTACCTTGCGAGATCTTAGTTCCCTGACCAGGGATTGAACCTCGGACCACAGCAGTGAAAGAGCCATGGCCTAACCAATGGACCACCAGGGAACTCCCAAGAGTTTCATAAGTCAACAAAAAGAAGACAAACAGTCCAGGGAAAAAGGGGGCAAGGGCTGTGAAGAGTAGGATGTGTGTTGACAGTCAGCCACCATATCTGCACGACCTATCCTCATGGCTCACGTGCGGTGGGTTTTGTTAGCCAGGCCTTTGTCACCTCATGACGTAAAAATAATCCATAATCTTTTCTTCAAGTACTTTAATAATCTGTCTAGAATTTGTTGTATTTGTTTTTTTGTGTGGTTGAGGTAGGGGATCTAACATTTTCCCCCTATATGAAGATCTAATTATTTTCAAACATTTCACTGAATGGTTTAGTCTTTCTTCCCTGGTCTAATATACTATCTTTATCTGGACTCTATTCTGTGATGCAGTTATCTTGTCCTGTACCAGTACCAATATCACACTGCTTAATTCCAGTTGCTCTATAACATATGTTATATCTGGTAGGGCAAGATCCTACTCTTTGACCTTCTTTTTCATACATTTCATAACTATTCTTACATATATTCTCTACCAAATGTCTGCTGGCCAGGTTTTATTTAAAAATTATTTTGGCTATAAATGGATTGCATTGAATTTGGAGGTTAATGTGAGGAGAACTGACCTCTTCACAAACTTCTAGGAGGATGGTATCTCATGCCATGTAAGTACATCTTCTTAATGTCCTTCAGAAAAGTTTTAATATTTTCATCACATAGGTCTTACAAATTTTTGGTTAAGTTTATTCCTAGGTACTTTATGCATTTCTATTGATATAGTAAATGGGATGTTTCTTCTGTTTCGTAGTTATTTGTGTTATATGGGAAAGCTATTGAGGCTTATATGTGGATCTCTTGATTTTGTATGGAGCCATCTTACTCATGTTGCTTCCAATAAAATTTCGGTTGATTCTTTTGGTCTTCTTAGGTCCCTCATTTCATGTGCAAATATTTTTGTCTCTTCCCTTCCAATACTTCATTTTTCTTATTGTACTGATTAAGACCTCCTCCCCATCGATCAATAGTAACAGTAATCATGGGCATCCTACTCTTGGTCTTGACTTTAAAACAATGCTTAGGTTTCTGCTAGATACCTTTATTTTCTTTTCCTACTTCTAAGAGATTTATTAGGAATTACCTGTTGAACGTTATCTAAAACAGTCAATAAAATATATCGCTTGCTGTATGCAAGTCCCTATGTTAGGTACTGTGGAAGAGTCAAAGGATTATTAAACAGGGTACATTTCCTTTCCTTGAAAAAGTTATCATCTCACTGGGTAGATAAGATTTAAAGTAAAAAGGAATGAACAAGTATTTGGAAATACGTGTAATGGCTAATCATGATCACGTTTTCTTTCAAAACAGATTTATTCTCATAGAATTGCAAAAGAGGAGGATAAAAAAGAAGCAGAAGGTAAATATTGGTTTTTAAAGCAGAATTTTACAACTAGAGGAGAACTTAGAACTCATCTATTTCAATTTCCTGACCTAAGGCAGGAAGAATGTTTAATTACCCTAATGGTTTATCCAAATTTATTTATTAGCAGAATTAGCTCCCCAGCCAAAGCTGACTTAGAACAGAACTGGCGCCGATTCATCTGCTTTCTCTAGTCCTTTAAGGAAACAGGGTGGACGGGGAGAGGTTTTGGTTGTACCTGTTCCTGCTGGCCTGATGCCTGGTTCCTAGGCATCAGGCCAGGCCAGAGGCCTTCTAGGAGGCTCCGGAGTAGGGAAGGCCACATGGTTGGGGATGTAAGGGCTGGCCTAACTCAAAGCTGACAAAAGGTAGAACATATGAGTCCCTTTTGTAATTTGGCAAGGAAACTTCGCTTCTCATCCTTCTGTTTTTTATGCCACTACTCTCTATTCCCTTTATCCAAACCTCATAGAATTTTAACTGGGAGAAACTTTAGACAGTAGTTTCCCTCTTCCTTTTATAATAAGGAAATGGAGAAGGAGAAAGAGAAAATATCTTGCCCCATGTTCATACTGCTAGTGATTATCAAAAAGAAGAGCGTCCCTTTCCACTGAGGACTTCTTTACTGATCGCACTGTGTTTGGGCTGTGAGCTGCGTTTTATGTCAGAATTCAGTATACACAATTATACCCCAATAAAGATGTTTAAAAAATAAATAAATAAATAAAATAAAATAAAATAAAATAAAAAAGAATTCAGTATACACATACTATATGGACATAAGTAGTTTCTGAAACAATCTTATTTTGCACTCTGATTTTTTTTCTCTTCTATTTGTATTCAAAAAGAGTATTTTGTGTTTCCCTGCTGGTCATGGCCTTTGAACTGATTCCACAATTCACTGACACCACAGTGACAGCCTGCAGTATGAAAGTCAGAGAGGTATAGATAACTTTGCTCGTTGGTTTCAGGTGTTTACTTGGTGTGATTCAACTTATAAGATAGAGCAGCCAGGAAAATAAAAGCACCTTCTCTCCACACCCACACCCCCAGCAAATGCTGCATGTGCGACTAAGTCCGAAACGGACTGGTGTGAAGTGCATCTAGAGAGTAACGTGTTTCTGCCCAGTGCCGTTGTGCAGTGTTTTCTCTGCACGATGGCACTTGGCCAAGGACCAAGAAAGGTGAGTGGGGCTGAAAATCCTGCCTATACTCCATGCTAAGCTACATGTAAAGGTCTCCCCAGAGACACTAGGGGGCCATTTTGGACAGACACAGAGAACTTCTGGAAGGACAGCATGCATGCAACGATTTTCAAGATCCCCTATCTGTGGTGATTTTGCTCATTGTGATTATGGACTGAGGTACCCATTTAGTCCTAATAAGACCAGAGATAATGCATTGTGAGAGAGATGAAAAATGACATGTAACACTAACTGTGTGTGTTTTCCTCCAAGGGGCTTTTTTCGATTTCTGCTGCATAAGAGAAGCTCAGGGGAACGTGAGAGTTAGGTAAATTTGAGGAGGAGAAAGTACTGTGGCCAGAGATGCAGAATTAATATTTCCCTTTCTGTTTCTAGGAGGCCTCTTTCGGGAGAAGGTGGCCACTTTGACATAGGGATACGTACAGACCTCTCAACGCCACAACGCAAGGAATATATGGCACAAAAGCTACATGACATGGAGTCTTCTGATGAGGAAGAGATATTTCTCCATCCCAGCAGAAGGCCCAAACTCGTCATCCAGAGCTCACTGAGGAGGCTGAATCTTTACCCCAGGAGGCCCGTGCTCAGCATCCACAGGCCCCTGAGGAGGTTGAATCTTTTTCACCCCAGCAGAGGCCCAGACTCAGCATCCAGAGCCCGCTGAAGAGGTAGAAGCACCTCGACTTCAGCAGGAGGCTCCATCTCAGCCTTCAGAGGCCCCTGAGGAACTAGAAACTCCAAGTCCTCAAGAGGCCCTCACCTAGCCTTTGGAGACACTTAAGGAGCTTGTAGTTCGACCAGTAGCACATCATGGGGTAAATGAAGCTCAGCAAACTTGTACAATTTCACTATTAAACCTATGGATCTGGCACTTACAATAACTCCACAGGTCATTAAAGAGGTTGAACCCTCCCAGTCCAGCAAGAGACCCCATCTCAGCCTCCAGAGAGCCATGAGGAGGTTGAACCTCCACCAGTCCAGCGGGAGGCACCATCTCAGCCTCCAGAGAGCCCTGAGGAGGTGAACCTTCTCTACTCCATCAAGACGCCACAACTCAGGCTCCAGGTCTCCCTACTGAGTATGTACATGAAATTGCAGTGAGTAGAGAGGTAGCATCTCTACCTGCGTTCAGCGTCACGCTCATTCCAACTTGCCCAGTGTTACACTTCAACCTCTGAATTTGGAACTTACCATCACTCCGGAGCCCACTACGGAAGCTGAATTTCCTACAGCTCAGCAGGAGGCCCTGACTCCACCTCTTGAGCATCCTGAGGGGACAGAATCTTCTCCAAACCAACAAGAGACCTCAGCTAAGCCTCCAGAGCCTCCTGGAGAGGTTGAGCCTTCAAGGGAGCAGGAGCAACCAGCTCAGCCTTCTGAGCCTCCTGGAGAAGTTGAACCTTCTCCAACCCAGCAGGAGCCCACAGGTCAGCCCCCAGGGCCTCTTGTGGAACCTGAGCCTTCTCCTAGTGCACAGGAACAACCAACTCAGCCTTCTGAGCCTACAGAGCCTCCTGAGGTGAAAACAGCAACCCAGCAGGACATTCCAGCTCAGCTTTCAGAGTCTTTTGGAGAACCTGAAACCCCTGCTACCAAGGAGGAAGCCTCAGCTCAGTATCCAGAGAACCCTAATGAGGCAGAATCTTTCGCAACCCAGCAGGAGATCCCAGCTCTGTCTCCAGCGGAGATAGAAACTTCTGCAACCCTGCAGGAGCAACTAGCTCAGCCTCCAGAGCCTTCTTCAGGGGAGGTGGAACCTTCTCCGACTCAACAGGAACAGCCAGCTCAACCTCCAGAGCATCATGAAATGACAGGTTCACCTCCAAGTCACCCTCATGCTCAACATTCAGACTTATCCAGTGTCATTGTCAAACATGCAGATGTGGAGCTTACCATAACAAAAGAACCCACTCCAGAGGTGGACCTTCTCCAAATCAGCGCAAGCCTTCAGCTCAGCCCTCAGTGCCCCTTACTAATGCAGAATTTTCTACAATGCAACATGAGGCCCCCACACTGCCTTCACAGCCACCTGAGGAGGTTGAACTTTTGCCAGTTCAACAAGAGGCTCCAGCCGAACTCTAGAAGACAGTACACATAATAAACCTTCAGTACAAGAGGAGACCCCAGCTCAGTATCCAGAGCATCGTGGAGAAGAAGTTATACCTGCCACAAGCCAGCAGGAGACTCCAGATCAGCATCCACAGGCTCCTGAGTTTGTACCTTCCCCACCTCAGCAGGAAGCCACAGCTCAGCATCCAGAGTCTCATGGTGAGGTGGAATCCTCTCCAACTCAGTCTCCAGAGCTCTCTAATGTGACTGTAGTTTTCTCTCCAGAGCATCCTGTGACAACAGTTTCTCCTCTAGGTCAGGATCAAGCTCAGCTTCTGCAGCGGCCCGATGTCACTGTTAAACCTGTGGATCTTGCACTTATCGTAACTCCAGCGTTCACTAATGAGGTTGAAACTTCTCCACCCCAACAAGAAACCTTGGCTCAGTCTACAGTCTCCCCTTTGTCAGTCCAGCAAGAGATTTCAGATTAGCATCCGACCCCGTCTGAGAATGTTGAACCTTCTCCAATCCAGCAGGAGAGCTCAGCTCAGCATCCAAAGCCCACTGAGTGGGTTGGACCTTCTCCAGTCCAGCATCAGCACCCAATTCACCCTCCAGGGGCCTCTACAGATGGTGCGACTCAACCTTCAGTACATAATGAAGTGACATTCTCACCTCTAGGTCCAGATGAAGTTGAACATCCAGTGTTGCCTAATATCACAGTTAAACCCGTGGATCCTGTGGTTGTCTTAACTCTAGAGCCCAGTAAGAGGTTGAACATCCTACAGTGCAGCAGGAGGACCTTACTCAGACTCCAAATCCCCCTGGAGGGATAGAGCTTTCTTTAATCCAGGACGAGGCCCCAGCTCAGTCTCCGGTTCCCCAGGGGTGCTCAGCTATATGTCCATAGCCCCCTAAGGAGGTGAGACTTTCTCCCACACAGCAGGAGCTTCAGGCTCAGTCACCAGAACTCCCTGAAAAGGTGGAACCATTTCCAGTCCCTCAAGGGACCCTTCCTCACCTTCTACAGCCCCCTGAGAACATGGGATCTTCTCCAGTCCAACAGGAGTTCCCAGGCCTACTTCTGGAACCCCTTAAAGAGACAGAACCTTATCCAGCTGAGCAGGATGCCCCATCTCAGACTCCAGCGCCACCTAAGGAGGTTGTAGCACAAACTCCAGTGCATTATGAGATGACAATTCCAACACTAGGACAGAATCAAGCGCAGCATTCAAACTTGCCCAGAGTCACAGTTAAACCTTTGGACCAGGGGCTTCCCACAGCTCCAGAACCTACAACGGAGGCTGAATATTCTGCAGCCCTGCAGCACACTGCAGTTCCTCCAACATAGCCCGAGGTGACATTTCCAAATGCAGAGCAAGTTCAGGCTCATCATCCAACCTTGACTGAGGTCACAATTCAACCTTTGGACCTTGAACTGACCATAAGACCACAACCCACTAAGGAGGATGAACCTTCTCCAGCCCTGCAGGATAACTTAACACAGCCTCCTGAACCACCTAAGGAGGTTTTTGTAGCTCAGCTTCCAGTGTATCAGAACCCAATCGTCCCAACACCAGATCAGGATCACACTGAGAGTCCAGCATCACCCAGTGTCACAGTTCAACCTATAGACCAGAGGCTTACCACAACTCCAGAACCTATTACGGAGGTGAACATTCCACACCCCTGTACGAGACTATAGTTCCTCCACCATACCACGAGGTGACACTTCCAAATCCAGAGCAAGTTCAGGCTCAGCATCCAACCTTGACTAAGGTCACAGTTCAACCTTTGGACCTGGAACTTACGTTAATTCTGGAATCCAGTTTGGAGGTTGAACCTTCTCCAACCATGCAGCAGACCCAAGCTCAGCCTCCAGAAATCATTAAGAAAGTTGTAGCTCAGTCTCCATTGTACTCCGAAGTGACAGTTCCAGCACCAGATCAGGATCATGCTGAGCATCCAATATCACCCAGTATCACAGTTAAACCTTTGGATCTGGAGCTTAGCACAACTCCACAACCTACTACAGAGTCTACAGAACATTCTACAGCCTGGCAGCAGACTACAGCTCCCCCTCCAAAACACCCTGACATGACACTTGCAGCCAAACCACACTCAACTCACAAGTCAACCTATGGATGGGGAAATTACCATTACTGCAAGATCCAATATGGAGACTGTACCTTCTCCAATCATGCAGGACACCCCAACACAGCCTCCAGAGGCACCTCAGGACGTTGTAGTTCAATCTCCATTCCAGCAGGAGGTGACAGTTCCAAATCCAAGTAAGGATCAAGGTCAGCATTCAACATCATCTAGCGTCAGAATTCATTATGTGGACCTAGAGCAAACCACCACTCCAGAATCCACTATGGAGGCTGGACATTCTACATCCCTACAGCAGACTATAGCTCCCCCTCCAAAACACCCTGAGGTGACACTTGCACAGCCAAACCTGACTCAAGTCACAGTTCCACCTGTGGACCTGTGAGTTAACGTATCTCAGCAACCAATGCCATCTGAGACAGTTCTTTTTCCTTCGACTCAGTATTCAGTATCCACAGGTCTTCCTGGTGTAAAATATACCCCAGAAAAGAAGCAGCCGGAACAGAATGCCACCACAAACTTCAGCATATGTGAGCTCTGTACCTGCACAAATGAGACGCTGTCATGTAATGGTCTCAGCCCAAAGCAGAAGCTCCACAGAGTGCCTGAGCCAGAGCCTAACGCCTACAACGGCACCTTCACCATCATGTAAGAATCGCCTCTCCTCATTTGTTCTCTGCATCCTGCCTGACATGGCAGCCTTTCTGCAGGTCTTCCTGGGTCCTCCTTTTCTCCCCAATCCACATTGACTGACTTTCTGTTTCCACCTTTTGTTTGTCAATGATTCCTTATCTTCCTTCTCCTTCTTACCATTTTTCCCACTCCTCCAGTCTTTTACTTTTAATTGCCCTTATTTTTTCCTTCTCCATTTTTTACCCCATTATTTAATTCCTTAACATCTACTCTTCTCCCATCTTTATTACATCCTCTTTACAGCAACATGTCCCTCTCCCGATCTCATTGGTGGTAATACAACAAAGTGGTTAAGAGTAGAGATTCCGGAGCCATACTAACTGGGTTTGAACCCAGGTCTGTCATTTATTATCTTTATGACTCAATTTCCTCATCTGTAAAACAGGGATTATGGTAGTCATCATCTCATAGGATGACTCCTATGACTCCTCAATCTCCCAATGACTCCAATCTCATTGGGAGATTTAGATTAGTTAATATAGGTAAAGCTCTTCTATCAGTGCATAGCATATATTTTAGCGTTAGCTATTATTATTATTCAATCCCTCTGTTATATCTAGAACTCATCTTTGTCCCCTGGCTTTCTATATGTAGCACCCATTTTGTGCCCAACCCAGGGCTAAGTACTCTGGGAGCCACAGAAGTATATGGCATTGTCTCCAGAAAATGACAATGATAAGTGGGAAGAAAGGGGATATGCCTTAAAAGGGAGGTAGTATATAATTAAGTATTAAGAGAAATACAGATAGGTGGTGTAATTCACCAGAACCTTTAATCACAGGGGTGTGGAGGTCACAGAAAGCTGCATGGATAACCTAAATCTTTAGCTGGGACTTAAAGATTGGCTGTGATTTGTCAGAAAAATAAGAGGCAGTACAGTCTAGGCAAAAGAGTGACTGCAGTGATGATCAGAATTTAATAGATTAGTCTGGCTGTAAATAATTGGGTTAGGTAACAATGAAAGATAGGATTATGAAAAACCTGGGCTATTGGAAATGCAGGTTTGAAAGTTCTGCTGTAAGATATGGGGAGCCACTGCAAGTTTTCAAGCAAGAGAGACAAATGATGAAAACAAGAGGCTTATTTTAAACACAAAAATGTGTAAGACAGGATTCCTTTTAGCAACTCAGGATCTCATAGGTAAAATAAACATATAAGCTCAAACCATAATGACAAAGTGCTGTGGAGGCACCATGAAGTAATAAAACTACATTTCTTTTAAAACAGTCATTTCCTCCCTCTATCCATTCCCCAGCTATTTGTTGATTTTATAAATATTTGAGTTTGCTTTATGTCCACGCGTTGGCTTTAAATATGATAGACGATGCACATAAGCAGGATCTAGTCCATACTTTAAAGCAGTTTATGCTCAGAGGAAATGGGTTGCAAAAAGAGCTATATTTAAAGAAAGAAATGAATATGGGCAATGAGAGCTACAATTTGGTACTGGAGCACAAAAGAAGGAAAAAAGACTTCAAATTGGATCAGGGAAGATGTTACTAGAGCAATGCTGTTTAAACGGGACCTCGAAGAGCCATTGGGTATCAATGACAGACATCTTGGGAAGAATAAGTTTGCAAAAGGAAAATGGGAGAAAGGCAAAACACAGGAAAAATACTCTGAGTACCTGTAGAGTACAAGTGGGAAGAGTAGGAGATTAGAGCCAGATCATCTAGGGATTTGGAGGCCAAGCCAAGGATAACATGCCAAGCTAGCATGTTACCACAGCAGTGCTTTAGGACAAGCATTAGCCTGCAACAGAACCAACCACTTGGAGGGCTTGTGAAAACACAAGCTCCACCCGCATATTTACTGATTCAAGAGGTCCAGAAGAGGGCTGAGTATTTGTATCTTCATTAATTCCCAAATGATGCTTGGTATTTGAGAACCACTTCCGGAGAGTTAATCTGGGGATCGCGTGGAGGATGGCTTAGAAAGGGAGAGGGTAGAGATGGAAACACCAGTCAGAAGACAGTTATACCTATCCAGGTGAAATGAGAGACTAAGCTGGAATCAATGGAAATAAGATAGTCAGCTATCGTCAAGAGTAGGTATTTTCGAATAAAAGTCAAAATGATAGAAAGTGTAATTCTGAATTAACGTTACATATTAATGATAGGAGTAACTTCCTTTCAAGTTGTGTGAAAGGTTATCTTTTATTTCTTCTGGTAATGAATTGGCCTAGAAAAACAGAACTATACTGGGAAGTGTGTAAATATAAGAATATTCCTTTTAATAGAAGAAATTATAATGATATCTAGAGATAAAAAACTTTGGGCTCATAATCTAGAATTTGATTAGACCACAAAAGGTGGAATCTAATCAATGCTTCTTCTCTCACAAAAGATTACCTCCAAAATCTATCAAGATCTGTAGTTGTATATTTAATTTATGAAGATCCTGAATATGAGACTCTTAAGAGAGGTGAAGGCAGGGTTAGGGACTCTGAAAGTTTCAAATAATAATTCCTAAGGTTTGGAGTTTAGACCAAAGCTTCTTATTTATTATTATCATTCTAACCTCTACTAGTTATTCCTACTAATTAGATATCTAATAGCAAATTGAAGCAATATATTCCTTTTAATTTTCCTAGAGATTTTTCCTTCAATAAAATACTGTCTATCGAAAGCATTACATTTGAAACACTACCTTTTTTGCAGTTTATGTAAGTTACAACTATAACTTCATTATATTTGGAATTTTTATTACGCTTAATTTTTTATAAAATTAATTTGTTACTCATTTTGAAATACGATTAAAATTACCAGTAAAATTTTGTAGCAAATCCTTTTTGTCTCTAGCAAAGATTAGTGTGAGAAATATTACACAGATCAGAGTGAATCATTATAGAGCAGTCGTTCTCAACCAGGGTGATTTTGCACGCAGGTGACATTTGGTAGTATCTGGAGACATTTTTGCTTTTCAGATCTGTATATGCTACTGGCATCTAGTGGAGAGAGCCCAGAGATGATACTAAACATCCAGGAGTGTACAGGAGAGCCTCCCACAGCAAAGAATTATCCAGCCCAAAATGTCTATAGTGCTGCCTTTCTAGAGAAATAAAGATCACTTAACACAAGTATTTAATGAGCATTTACTATTTTGTATCTAATGCACCACATATATAATCATGAAAGTATAAATCATAATGTCTTCCACAGTGAGATTTCTTTAGTGCATGGAGGGAGTAGTGATGTTATGTTTCATCATATATAAATTAGAATTATTGCCAAAGGATAAATATGCTGAAAAAATATATATTTTTCTTTTTCATTTGTCTTTTTTTGTAGAAATCTTGCTTGCAATTTACTCACAGAACTGAACGTTGGAACATTTCAGACCTGACATGGAATGCAGTTTTTACACAAATAGTAAGTGAAATAGAAGATGAATACATGTAGAAAACTGTGTATAAAAACATCATGCAGTTATTGGTTAGCTGGGTGTAAGCCCAGTATGAATTCTGGAAGGTATGTCTTGAGAGCCATTTATTTATTTTTTTTCAAATGAGGAAACTTAGGTACAAAGAGGCCAAGAGACTTGTTTAACTGATATATATGAAACCCACTGCTTTCCATAGTACTGAACTTTGGCATGGGCAATAAAAGGCATCAAGGAAAAACACTCAAATTAGAATTGTCATGGAATCCCACTGATGCCTCTCCAATATGCAAATGGTTCATGAAGTTCCACTTTTGAATTTAACTTGGATTCCTGCTCATGTGCAAAGTTCCTAACTGCATAAAATGTATGCAACACAGAGCTGCAAAGAACTAAGTTTAGCACCGAATTCTTCAGGGAGCAAAAGCTGTGGGTGCTTCCCCAACCATTATTAGCTCTTTTAAATGGTAAAGCAGAAAGAATTCCTGAACACACACCACAGAGCTCTCCCCAGCCACCCAGAACATTATTTTTCAAAAAACATATATCTCTGAAGTGAATTATCTGTGGTCAATAGGAACCTGTGAGGTATGGAAAAAGACGTTGTTTGTGTTCAGCTGTAGTGTGAAAAATATATAGAAAATACATTGCTGTAGCCTAATTCAGTATACTTTCTTCGCTGACTACTCTTCAATAAGAAGTGTGAGTTTTACACCCCTTCAGGTCAAAAATTCTGTGATTTCTCTTGACCCAAGGAAATGATAGTGGGTATGTTCAATGGCCCGAAGGTGATTTCAGACTCAAGGTAAAAAGAGCTCTTCTACACCTGGCTTTGGAAAAGACTCTCTTACCTGTCTTGTGGGTCAGAAAACCAGTTTCACACAGTTCACACATTTTGGGTTAATGAAGGTGTTGAGGCTGTGTCTGGAACTGGATTAGCAATTCCTGCAGATGCCTATTTTTAGCACCCTCCTTCCTTTCCCTTGTTAGTTTGCTGATGCCTACCTTGGGGAGAGAGCACCAAGGGTCAGTTGTTCTTTTGCCAGCACACAGGAGAGCGGGTTGATGAGGTCCCTTCACCAGGAGGTTTTAGTAGGATCAATATAACGTCTTAAACTCACCACCTTTCCTAAACATCCTGTAACAGCAAGAGTTCCTTATGAGAATCAGAGTTTCACTGTAGTTATATAGGCAACACAGGACAATACATTGTGGAAATAAATAAATAATGAAATCACAGTTTAAAAATTAATGAATTCATTCAAAAACATTCACTTAGTGCCGTGCCATGCCCACTGTGAGTCAGCACTGTATTAAGTGCTGGGGATACAAAGATGCATAGGGCAGGAACTTTGTCCCCAAGAAGCTTTCATACTGGAAGAAGAAAGATGAATGTTGATGGGAAAACATATGAGAGCCATTCTAGCATCTATGCCGCAGGGTGACAAGGTTAGGCAGGGAGGTGATGAAGTAGAAAATGGGTGGTAGTTTAGAAAAGATTTGTAATGTAAGAGGCACCAACTTGTTCCTTTTGAATTTGTGCTCCTCTTAAATGACAGAAAAAGTTAGTGAAAGAATCAGAACTATCTGGTGTTGGAAATAAATTAGTACTGTACTCCTAAAACTCGTTCACAGTTACTTTCAAAAGATTGTCACAGTATAGTAAGTCTTTGTTTTGGGCTAAGTCTTTCTGATAGACAAACTAATTTGCTTCAGGAAACATTTGCCATGGTGAGACATAAGCTTTATTGCATCTCTTTCCAAAGGCAAGCCACAAAGGGAAGACACCACCCTTGAGTTAAGTCATTTTACTACCTATAATGACATATTACTGGGGAGTTTATAATTTGCCTGCATTAAATAAGTTTGGAAAAGGGCCCCAGCTTAGGTGGATTTATCATGAATTCAATGAAGCTTAGGGTTCAGGGCTCCTCACTTGCATAAGTCCCTTCCAAGGTCTTGAGAAGGGTCCTAGCGATTTTTGTATTCATAATTTTGCATGTTTTTATTAGATGGAATTTCCCAAAGTAGATGAGCTTCAGGCCCCACAAAAGCTTGAGTCATCACCGGGTTTCAGGTAATTATAAGTCAGCAGGTTTCCTGAATGAAGCCTCTATGTTATTGACAAATATCAGATGAAGTAGTTAGCAGTGTGGTAGTCTATTTTAAATCCAAAATCTGCTTTAAAAATGAGCCAAGAGCTTATTAATTAATAAAGTACCACTCTTTGAATGTTGGTAGTAATCATATCTCTTTCAGATAAAATCAGGAGTGAAATACATTATGGAAAACCAGCAGTGGTTGATAATCCTAAATGTTAAGTATACTTTTTTTCTGACTTTAAAGTGTTTCTCCTTCATTCATCTATGCAGGTCCAGACTGATGGCTTATTTTTAAAATTCTTTTAGTCACTTCTTTGGTTCTAACAATACAAGCTCCTAGATTTCTGAAACTGAAGGACTCTACAATGTACAAAGGCTATATAACTTAACGAGTCAGAGAACAATCACATGTTGCCTTGTTTGTGGTACATCAATATTGTAACAAGAACATAAGGACTAAGAGCGAATAAGAGGAAAATCAAAGCCTTATCCATATTGAATTATTTACCCCATTGTTGAGAATATCAATGAGGGGGGTGTGGCCACACTATGAAGGCAAATTGAGCTCTCATCACAGAGCAACCCTAATGCTCCCCCAGTCAACTATCATTGGTTTCCTTTAGATAGCTATGTACACACAAAAGCTGACACACTTCAGGGTGCTGTCATCACTTTTTGCTATGTACCAGAATCCTGGCAGCTTCTCAGATTTAGAAAGGCATAAATGCTAAAAACAAAAAAAAACCTTGGGTCTGCCCTTTGCCGTGATTCAGGTGGCTGTTTTATTTGTAATAGTTCAAAATGTTGAGATTGTCACACCTAGCAACTACTATACTTTTCTTCTCCCAACTGCATCTTATTCTTCCCACCTGTAGTGTTTTCTCCCATTCTATATGTTTTTTCACTTTCTTGATAGTGTCCTTTGAAGTACAAACTTTTTAAATTTTATAAAATCACATTCATGTATTTTTCCTTTGGTTCTTTGTGCTTCTGGTATAATATCTAAGAAACTGTTGTCTAAAGCAAGGTCATAAAGATTTACTCTTGTGTTTTCTTCTAAGAGTTTTATAGCTTTAGTTCTTACCTTTGGATATTTGATCCATTTGGAGTTAATTTTTATATATGCTGTGAAGTGTAGGAGACCAGCTTCATTATTTTGTGTGTGGATGTCCCAGTTGTCCCAGGATCATTTGAAAAGATTGTTCTTTCCACATGGAATTGTTTTGGCATGTTTGTTGAAAATCAATAGACCATATATATGAGGATTTATTTCTATAATGTCTGTTCTGTTCCATTGATTTACATGTCTGTTCTTATTCCAGCACCACACTGTGATTGCAGTAGCTTTGAACGGAGTTTTGAAACCAGGATGTGTGAGTCCTCCCACTTTGTTCTTTACCAACATTGTTTTGGTTATTCTGTTTCCTTGAATTGCCATATGAATTTTAGAATTAGCTTGGCAATTTCTGGAAAGAAATCAGCTGGGATTTTGATAGGAATTGCAATGGAACCATAGGTCGATTTGGGAAGTAGTGACATTTTAATAAGATTATCTTCCAGTCCATGAATCCAGCATGTCTTTATATTTATTTAGATCCTTTTCAATTTCTTTTAACAGTTTTGTACTTTTCAGTGTGAATCTTGCACTTACTTGGTTAAATTTTTCCCTAAGTATTTTATGTCTTTTGATGCTGTTACACATGGAATTCTTTTCTTAATTTCCTTTTTGGACTACTCATTGCTGGTGTGTAGAAATAATATTGATCTGATATCCTACAACCTTCCTGAATTCATTTATTAATGCTAACAGTTATTTTCCTACATTCCCAGGAATATATCTTGTGGTCTTCCAGTTTCCCAGGAATACATTGGAACATTTAAAAGTCTCTGTGGACATCTCATTCCTCAGCTTTTCTTTTTAAGCTTTTTCATTGGGCTGTTTTCTGCCCCAAACTGTTATCCATTGCCTCATGCAACCGCCATGTTAAAATATTTGCTTGAAAATGTTTTCCAGTAATGCCACCTGAGAAGCGGCTTTTCTCACTAGACAGCTCTCAGCCAGGTCACAGGCAAGCCTTTCAAGTGAGGTCTTCCAGGGACCACCAGACATGTAAAACAATGATAGTTCTTTGGGAATGTGGCTTTGAAGGCCCTCCCAGTCCATGCTACTCCTTCTAGTACCAGGGATGTGGGCTGTTTTTCAAGGCTACCACTGGCATGGAGAGCAAAGGTCAAGGACAAGTTCAAGCAGCACAGATCTCATTGTTCTTACAGAAATTAATATTTTTTCCTTGAATAAATTGCTCCCCAATGTGCAGCAACCTGTTGGTTAAATTTCCAGAGTTCAGAAGAAGTTGATTCTGACCATTTTTGCCAGTTTTGTTGTTGTTATTGGTATTGTTACTTCTATGGAGGGGTGAATTTTTAGATGTCCTTTCTCCATCACTTTTACTGATTTTCCTGCAATGTTTTTTAAAATCTGTGAAGTCTCAATGACCATAGGCTAATTAAATATTTGTCATGGGAGATGACTAAGGAAAAAATAAATATAAAGAGAAATAAATAAAAAATAAAAAGAGAAAATATAATTTCCATAGAGGCTTTCCCAGATGGGTAGATGAAGTTTGAAAAGGTATTTCTATATTTAGTGCTCTCAAAATTAAGGTTCAAGTAACAGATGTTTAAAACATGCCCACTTTTTTTTTCATTCAGGTTAAACACAGACTTTAGAGTCGGAACTGAATTCAAATTTCATCTCTGCTTCTTACTAGCTTGATGACTTAGGACAAGTTATGAAAATTCTCTGTGCCGCAGTTTCCTCATTTGTACAATGGGGTAATATATCTATCACATAAGGTTACTGTGAGGATTAACTGTTAAATGCTGATCACAGATGCCTGACAACCCAGAAGATATTAGTTTTGATAGCTATCTTTCTAATACTCTGCAAAAATACGCCACTAATTCTTGAGTAGAGTTAACCTAAAGTCAGATATTCTTTTCTTTCTTCCTGTTTCTTTTGGGGTTTTTTTTCCCCTTATTTCTTTTAAAGAATTAAGAAAAACAAAAGAAAGATAGAAAGTACTAAGAAGAAAATCCATCCCAGCATTTTGGAATAAAATTTTGCTCCCCAAAATTAATTTGTTTATTTTATTGATATATAAAGAAGGTGTTATTTATTCGGGAAACATTTAGTAAATATTAGGCACTGTGTCAGGCAGAGGAATAATAATGACAATAAAGTGTGATCCCTGCTCTCATGTTTCTGATGATCTAAGAGACTGACAAGTAAACAGGTGATTACATACACAGTAACAAAGGCTGTGATACAAGTATACATATGGGAGTATGTGATGGCAGTATGGTTTCACCAGTCCCTCTTGGATTTATCTCTTCTTCTTTGGCTCCAGAACCAAGGAATTAGGCCTACTTTTGTCTTTAACTGGGTAGTTTAAATCATTAAATTTTTTAAAAATTGTAGAGATGAAAGAAAAACACCTTGAATTATGGAGGACACTAGAAATAGTACTTTTTTACAGAGCAAGGGCTTCCTACTAGCATAGTCACTTTGAGGGTTTTGAACCTGAAAACTTCTTTGGCATATTTTTTCTTTGCTAGCCACTTTTTTTCTATTTTTTTCTTTGTTTGTTTGTTTCTCTTCTCCACTTTATCATCTAGAAACCTGGGTGGTTCCCAATGAAAGAGTGTTCTACAGATTCTATGGGTGATTTATAGGTAAAGACAGAAAATGATTTTTTTTAACCTTCAAATTCCATACCAAAAAAAATGAATATAAGCTTTCATGGAAGTAATTGAAAATGCAGATAATTTTAATTCCATTCCATTTTTCAGAATTCTCAATCGTAATCCTTTGACAACAGTTGAAGATTAATTTCCAGCATTAAAATATTTGTAAGTATTGCAACAGTTTCTTGGCTCAAGATATAATTTCTGCTCTTTTTTACTTTCGTCAGAGATTGAGTATTTTGGCTAAAAAGTCATAATTTTGAGTTTAACTGGGTTATTGAAAATAAGAGTTATTGGCAAACAAAAGGATTAAGAAAGAATACATATGGGTAAGACAGCCAGTAGAGAATGAGAACTGTGTTGAAGAACACATATAGTTATGGAAGATGTAGATGCATGTAGGAATATTATTTAACCCAGAAAGCAAAAAGGAATAAGGGGTACATTATTTTTTTTAAATGAGTGACCAAAGAGGTAGATGCAATTGAAAATGAGAAGTTCGGATAATAAAAAATGATTTTGCTGTTCAGCACCCAGGTCATTAATTTGATGATGCAAATTTAAATTTCTTCAGTAAGAGTTCTTTAGAATTATCATCTATGGCAAGTCAGAAGCCAGAATTGAAGTAATCCCATGTTAAGTATCTTTTTAAGTTTAGAATTTTTGTCTTTGGGTTTTATATCTTGCATGTTTGGGCTTCTCCTTCAGAGACAGGGGAACAGCACAATTGTCACTTACAATTGAAGGCATCCTCATGATGACCCTTGAATTGGAAAAACTGTAAGTTGATTTTTCTGACATTTATTTTCACTCAATTGTTTTTTTAGGTTTGTTTTATTATTTTCTTAAGTCAGGTTTATTTATGTATAATTTTCATTTCACAAAATTCACTGTTTCTAAATATACAGTGTGATGTGTTTTGACAAACGTACAGTTGTGTAGCCACCACCACATTATAGGTAAAGAAAATTTCTGTACTCCCAAAAGACCCCTCATGTCCCTTTGTAGTCAATCCATCCTCCTCTCACTACCAGCCCCTGGCAACCACCAATCTGGTTTTTGTCCGTATAATGTTGTGTTTTCCAGACTATCTTAGAACTGAAAGCATCTGTTATATAGCCTTTTGTTTTTGGCTTCTTTCACTTACCAGTCTCTTTGGAGACTCATCTGTTTTGCTGCACCTGTCAGTAGTTCATTCCTGTTTATTGCTGATAGTATTCTAGTTGTGTGGATACACAGTTTGTTTACACATTCATCGTTTGATGAACACTTGAGTTTTTTCTAGTTTTTTGGCTATTATGAACAAAGCCTCTGAAAACACTCACATGTGTGTGTGAACATATGTTCTGTGCGATCATATGTTTTCATTTCTTTGGGGTAAAATACCTAACGGTGGGATTGCTTCATCATATGCTAAGTGCATATTTAACTTTTTAAGAAACTGCTAAACTGTTTTCTAAAGTGCCTGTGCCATTTTTATTTCCCACTAGCAGTCTATGAGAGTTGCAGTTTCTCCACATCGTCACCTGACCCTTATATATGTTTTTGAAAAAGAAAATTAGCCTTTCTAGTATGTGTGTAGTTGCATCTCGCGTTTTTTTGCCACATTTTGCATTTCTGTAATAGCTGATGATGTTGAGTGTCTATTCATGTGCAGACATCTTTTTAAATGAAGTGTCTGTTCAAATCCATTTTTTAATTGGATTTTATATTGCGTTTTAAGAGTGCTTTATATAAAAAGCAATGGAAAAAGTCCTTTCTCTCTGATATTTGTTTAGTAAATATCTTCTCCCAGATTGTGACTTATCTTCATTGTATTAAAATGTCTCTGAAGACTAGAAGTTTGAAATTTTTGATGAACTCTAATTTAGCAATTTTTCTTTTTTTTCATATTTATTTAACTTATTTCTTTGCTTGTGCTGTCTTAGTTGCAGCAGCTGGACTCCTTAGTTGCGGCTCATGGGCTTCTTAGTTGTGGCATTTGAACTCTTAGTTGAAGCATGCATGTGGGATCTAGTTCCCTGATCAGGGATCGAACCCGGGTCCCTGCATTGGGAACTCGGAGTATTTTTTTTTTTTTTTTTTTTTTTGTGGTTCGCGGGCCTCTCACTGTTGTGGCCTCTCCCGTTGCGGAGCACAGGCTCCGGACGCGCAGGCTCAGCAGCCATGGCTCACGGGCCCAGCCGCTCCGCGGCATGTGGGATCTTCTCGGACCGGGGCACGAATCCGTGTCCCCTGCATTGGCAGGCGGACTCTCAACCGCTGCGCCACCAGGGAAGCCCGGGAACTCGGAGTCTTAACCACCAGGGAAGTCCCTTAGAAATTTTTCTTAGATGGTTTGTGCTTTTTTGTGTCTTATCTAAGAAATCTTTGTTTTTTTGTGTCTTATCTAAGAAATCTTTGTCTGAGACCCCATTGTCTAACCCAAAATCACAACGATTTTCTCCTATGTTTTCTTCCAGAAGTTGTATAGTTCCATTTAGTTCTATGATTCATTTTGAGTTAATTTTCATATATGCTTTGAGGGAAGGGTCAAGTTTCATTTTTTTGCAGTTTAAAAAACTATTTCTGTAGGACCCTATTGCGACAGCTTATTACACAACTTACTGCACCTTAAATTGTGCCATCACCCCTCCAATATGGCAAGCTAATAGAAACTTTCTGTTATGCCAAGGCTAGTTGAGGGGATTGCGTGAGATTAGTATGTAGAAAGGGTCCTGAATTTAGCACTCTATTCCAACCATCTTAGGTCAGCTGACAAATGAGTGTCTTCACCACGCTATCACACATTGGTCACTGCTCTAGCCTCATCTTCCTCAGCCTCCCATGGCATCTGCCACAATTGTGATCCCTCTCTTGTCAGGTAGATGCCCTCCTCTCTGGATATTAAAAATTATTTCCCTATGTAACTACAATACTGTTAACACACAGTATTGAAGAAATTAAATTCCTACACAATAATATTACCTTATAAAGACTTGCTATTCAAATTTCCCCAATTGTCTCTCTCATATAATACCATTTCTTTAAACAGCTTTTTGAGGTATAATTGACATAGAGTAATCTGTCTTCACACACACACATACATACACACCATGAACACATCACCAAAATCAAAATGTCCATCACCTCAGAAAGTTTCTTAATGTCTCTTTATAATTCTTCCTTCCTATCGTTCCTTGCCCTTCCCAATCGCCATGCAACCATTGATCAGCTTGCTGTTTGCATTTTCTAGAATTTTATGTAAATAGAATCATACAGTGTATACTTTTTTCTAACTGGCTTCTAACTCAGCATGATTATTTTAATCTTCATCCATATTGTTGTATATTATCAGTAATTCATTTCTGTTTATTGCTGAATAGTATTCCATTATATGGATGTAGCCCAATTTATCTATTCACCATTGATGGACATTTGAGTTGTTTTAATCTTTGTCTATTACAGATAATATTGCTATGAATATTTGTGTACAAGTCTTTGTATGGATGTATACTTCCATTTCTCTTTGGTAAATACCTGCAAGTAGAATGGCTGGATCATTGGTAAGTGTATGTTTTATTTTTTAAAAAATACCTGTTTTCCATACTGGTTTGATCATTTTACATCTCTACCAGCAGTGTATGAGAGTTGCATCTTCTTCACATGGTGGCCAACACTTGCTATGCTCAGTATTTTAAATTTCAGATCGTTTAATAGGTGTGTAGCTGTATTTCACTGTAGCATCCCCAATGATTAATCATGTCAAACATCTATTCATATGCTTATTTTCCATGTGTATATCTTTGAATCTTTTATCTATATTTTTCTGGAGTTTTGAGAGTTCTTTATGTATTCTGGAAATTAGTCCTTTATCCAATATATAAGTTGCTAAGTACTTTCTCCCATTCTGTGACTCATCTTTTCGTTCTCTCAGGAGTGTCTTTTGCAGGGCAGAAATTTTTAATTTTGATAGTGTCTAATTTATCTATTTTTTTCTTTTATGCATTATGTCTTTGGTGTTGTATCTAAGAAATTTTGCCTAACTCAAGGTCATAAAATTTTTCACCTGTTTTGTTCTAGAAGTTTTATAGTTTTATGTTTTACATTTAGATCTCTGAACCAATTTGAGTTCATTTCTGTATATGGTTTGGATGGAAGTTTCTTTTTTTTTTTTTTTTTTGCACCTGGATATTCAATTGTTCCAGCATCATTTGTTGAAAAGACTATCGTTTCTCCACTTAAATGCCTTTGAATCTGAAAGTCAGTTGTCCACATCTCTCTACTTTTGAACTTTCCATTCTGTTCCTTTGATTTTTTTTGTCTATCTTTACCCTGCTATCACAATGTCTTGAAAGTGTAGCTTCATAGCCCTTGAAATCAGTTACTGTTAGTTCTTCAACTTTGTTCTTTTTCAACGTTGTTTTAGTTATTCTAAATTTTATTTCCATATGAATTTTAGAATTACCTTGTCAATTTCTATAGCAAAGCCTACTGTGATTTTGATATATAAATCAATTTGGGGAGAATGGATGTCTTAACAATATTGAATCTTCTGATCCATGAATACATTATATCTCTCCATTTATTTAGGTCTTCCTTAATTTCCCCCAGCAATATTTTACAGTTTTCAGTGTGCAAGTCTTTTACATCTTTTGTCAGATTTATTTAAGTATTTTATATGTTTGATTCTATTATAAGTAGTATTTAAAAACTTTGATCTCTGATTGTTTGTTGAGCTAGATTAATCTTTTTGTATGTTGATCTTGTACCCTGCAAACTTGATAAACTCATTTATTAGTTCCAGTAGCATTTTTGTAGTTTCTATCAGGTTTTCTACATAATCATGTTATCTGCAAATAAAGATAGTTCTACTTCTTCCTTTCCGTTCTGAATATCTCTTTTTTGTTGTTGCCCTATTGCACTGGCTAGAACCTTCAGTGCAATGTCAAATAGAAATAATGAGAGTAGACATCCTCGCTTTTGTCCTGATCCTGGAGAGAAAGTACTTTGTCCTTCACCATTAAATATGATGTTAGGTTTTTTGTAGAAGTCATTTATCAAGTTGAGGAAGTCTCCTTCCATTCCTATTCTACTGAGGGTTTTTTTTTCTTTAATCAGGAATGGATGTTAGATTCTTTCATTCTTTTCTTGCATCTCTTGCAATGATTATGTGGTTTTTCCCTTCTTTTCTTTTCTTAATTTATTTCTGGCTGCATTGGGTCTTCATTGCTGCATGCAAGCTTTCTCTAGTTGTGGCGAGCAGGGACTAAACTTCGTTGCAGTATGCAGGCTTCTCATTGCGGTGGCTTCTCTTGTTGCAGAGCACAGGTTCTAGGTGTACGGGCTTCACTAGTTGTGGCACATGGGCTTAGTATTTGTGGCTCACAGGCTCTAGAGCGCAGGCTCAGTAGCTGTGGTGCATGGGCTTAGTTGCTCCGTGGCATGTGGGATCTTCCTGGACCAGGGCTGAAACCCATGTCCCCTGCACTGGCAGGTGGATTCTTAACCACTGCCCCACCAGAGATGTCCTGATTTTTCTTTTTTATAGTGTACTAAATTGGGTAAATTGATTTTCAAATATTAAACCAACCTTTCTTTCCTGAGATAAACCCCACTTGGTCATGATGTATCATCTTTTTATATATTACTGGATTTGATATGCTAAAATTTTATTAGGAATATTTGTCTCTGTGTTCATGTGAGATATTGGCCTGTAGTTTTCTTGTAATGTCATTGTCTAATTTTGATACGGTGAAAGTTGGCCTTATAAAAAAGTTGGGAAATATTCCCTTCTCTTCAACTTTCTGGTAAAGTTTTTGTAGAATTGGCATTATTTTATTCCTTAAATGTTTGGTAGAATTTATCAGTTAAGCCACCTGGACTTGAAGCTTTCTTTGTTGGAAGGTTTTAAACTGCACATCCAATTTGTTTAATACCTTTATTCTTTAATAAACTTTAGTACTGCATGTCTTTCAAGGAATTTTTCCATTTCACCTTGAATTTATTGGTATAAAGTATTCTATAATATTCTCTTATTATCCTTTTAATATCTATAGTATTTTTCTGTTTTCCATTTTATTTATTTCTACCTTGATCTTTATTGTGTTCTTTCTTCTCTTACTCTGTGATTAACTTGCTCTCGTTTTCCCAGATTAAGGTGGAAGTTGAGGAAGCTGAGTACAGTGTTAGCAATATCCCACCTGTTGACATATTATGTTTTCAGTTTCAGTGAGTTCAAAATAGTTTCTGATTTCCCTTTTGATTTCTTCTTTGACCACAAAGTTACTCAGAAGTGTGTTGTTTAGTTTCCAAATATTTGGAGCTGTTTCAGATTTGTTAATTTCTAAATTATTTCCATTGAGTTCAGAGACATATATTGAATGACTAAAATCCTTTAAAATATTTTTGTAAATATTTTTTTTAATTTATTATTTTGCTGTGTTGGGTCTTTTTTGCTTCGCCTGGGCTTTCTCTAGTTGCGGCAAGCAGGGGCTGCTCTTCGTTGCAGTGCATTGGCTTCTCATTTGATATCTTCTCTTGTTGCAGAGCACAGGCTCCAGGTGCGTGGGCTTCAGTAGTTGTGGCACACAGGCTTTAGAGTTCAGGCTCAGTAGTTGTGGCATACGGACTCAGTTGTTCTACGGCATGTGGGATCTTCCTGGACCAGGGATCAAACCTGTGTCCCCTGAATTGGCAGGCAGATTCTTAACCAGTGAACCACCAGGGAAGTCCCTATTCCTGTATTCTTAATCTTCTGTGTAGATCCATATTCCAATATGGTGTCATTTTCCTTCTGCTTAAAAATACTTATTTTAAAATTTCTTATAGTGAAATTCTACTAGTAATGAATTCTTTCAGCTTTTGTATGTCTGAGATAGTCTTTATTTTGCTTTTGTTTTGACAGATCTGGGTATAGAATTCTAGCTTGATAGAATTCAATTCACTACTTTAAAGATGTTATTCCACTGAGATCTCATTTACATTGTTTCCAACAAAAATTCTGCCGTCATTCTTTCCTTTCTTCCTCTGCATGTATTGTGTAGTTGTTTCCTTGGGCTGCTTTTAAATTTTTCTCTTTATTGCTGGTTTTGAGCAATTTGATTATTTTTTGTGCCTTTGTGTAGTTTTGTCCATGTTTCTTATGCTTAAATTTCATTGATCTTCGTGAGTTTGTGGGTTTATACTGTTTACCAATTTGGGAAAATTATGGCTATTATTTCTTCAAATTTTTGTATTTCTCCTCTCTTTCATGGACTCTAAGTACACATGTATTAGGCGACTTGAAGTTGTTGCACAACTCTCTGATGCTCTATTCATTTTTGTTGTTGTTTTATTTTGTTACTCTTTTTGTTTCATTTTGGATAGTTTCTATTACTATGCCTTAATGCTCACTGACCGTTTTTTCTGCAGTGTCTAATCTCCCATTTAGCTCGTTCAATATCTTTTTCATTTACACATGGTTTTTAACCTCTAGAAGCTCAATTTGGGTCTGTTTTACACTTCCCATGCCTATACTTAACATTTTCAATGTATAGTCTGCGTTTTTTTTAACATATGAAATACAGTTATAATAACTTTTCTTCATGTATAACTTTTTAAATATTCTTTAATGTCAATTCTAACATCTGTATAGATTATACGTTAGTTGTGATTGATTTCCTTTTCTCCTCAGTATGGGTCATAGTTTCCTACTTCTTTGCATGCTTGACAATTTTTCATATGATCCCCGATATTGTGAGTTTTAGTTTCTTGTGTGCTATATATATTTTTATTCCTGTAAAATGCTTGGGCTTTGTTTTTGGTGAAATTAAGTTACTCAAAACAATTGTATTCTTTTAGGTCTAGCTTTTAAGATTCTTTGGGTAGGAGTTCAAATACCCTTTAGTCGGGAGTGCATTATTTGCAACTACTGAGACAAGTCCTTTCTGAGTATCATGTGGTTTTCCAGTCTGACTTGTAGGAACAGCTATTATTCCTACAACCCTGTGTGATATCCAGTTATTCTTATTATTAATCCTTTCATGTGGTTCTTTTCCTGGCATCAAGCAATTCCTCACACAAATGTACTGACCAATATTTTGTTGAATTCTCAAGAGATCCCTCTGCATATCTCCAGAGTTCTTTGTCTGTGCACTTCTTTTCTCTCTGGTAGTCTGCTTTGTGAACTCTAGTTACCTTGGTTTTCCCAGACTCTCAGCTCCATTTCCTCAGTCAGGGAGTCCACCAGTCTCTGCCTGGACTTCTCTTCCCTGTACGATGACCGGGACACTCTCTCAGAGAAGTAAGTTGGGGCAATTATAGGGATCACTTCATTTATTTCCCATTTCTTGGGGATCACTGAACTTTATTGCCTGAGGTCCAGTTTCTTGGAAACTGTTGTTTCATATGTTCTGTCTGATGTTTTCATTGTTTCAGGTGGGAGGTTAAATTGGTGCTTGTAACTTCATTTTGACCAGAAGCCAATAACATTCTTTAAGTCTGTTTTGTTTTGATACAGGGTCCAATTAAAGATTAGGCATTGCATGTCATGTCTTTGTTTCCTTTAATCTGGAATATTTCCCTACTATTTTTTTTTTTTGGTCTTTTATTACATTGGTGTTTTTGAAGAATCTATGCCAGTTGTCATGAAATTGCCCCACAATCAGTATTTGTCTGTTTCGTCATTAGATTCAAAGTAAATATTTTGGGGAATAATACTATATAGGTGAGGTATTCTTCATACTTCATCACTTGAGGTGTCCCAGTACTAAGTTTGATCACTTGATTAAGGTGGTATCTTCCATATCTCTCCATTGTAAAGTTATGTTTCCCCTTGGTAATTGATAAATCATATGTGGGTTGATACTTCCGGATCAGTGAAGATCCCACTTTCAAACAACTCTTCACCCAACTGTGCATCAATGATAATCCTAGTCTGAATAGATTATTACATTGATAGATGCAAAATGACACTTTCCTAATTCTATCTTTCCTTTTGCATTTATTAGCTGACATTATTCTATAAATAAGAGCTCCCCCACTTTTCATTTTGAGTATCATTATGAACTCATGTGCTTTTTTTTCAATTAACTATGTTATACCTTATGATAATGATAAAGTTATTCTTTCGAATGTTCCTTTTGTCCAGATTTGGACAATGTGATCTCTGTTATCATTTAACCACACGATGCTTTTTTATTACTAGAATAATTTCTAATATATTACTACTCACAAATAGGACCTTAGAAAGGGACTCAAGAAGGTGCAGTCTTATTCAGACTCTTCTTAGAAGTGTGCCTTCTTCCTGTGTACTCTCAACCCAAAGTGAGAATTTCAGGATGGAAGGAGATGCTTCTGAATTAAACTACAGATCAATGTCAACCAATTCTAATCTCTATTCCCTTTTTCCTAGGCATACCATACCTACTGCCATCTTAATCCTTCTGTTGGGCACCTCTCTCCTCCTCTATATTTATTTACAACAGTGAAGAGCAGCAATTGGCCAACCGGCCCCTATCCAGTTCTGCAGTCCATATGCCCCAAGAGCTCCTTTTTGCACTGGTCTGTGGTGGCCTTGGCCTATCTCTTCTACCTACTCAAGTGACTCTTTTACGATGAATTTAATTACCTGTGTTTCCATTTATAGGATCTTACCTAGCCTTATGGCCTGCTGCCTCTGCCAGTTTAAAAATATTATTGAGGTTGTCTGTAAGACAGTCAAGCTGCGTTGTGACAGTGAATGCCTGACAGACGTCACATGTTGTGGTGAGTCTCAATTGCGGGATAATACATTTTTAACTTTTAATTTAATATTTTAATTTTTAATCAATGATGATAAAGTTTAAAATTAATGATGTAATTGCGTTATTTTAATTCATTCATTCAGAGTTCCAGCTCCCTAAGTTTCTAAGAATTACCCCATTGCTAAAAATCAGATTATTGTTTACATTATTAAGGTAATCATAGCTCAGTTACATTGTTAGCTTAATAATGTAACTGATCCGCATACATAAAGGAACAAGAGAAAGGAATGGAAGGGGGAAGGGAATTAACATTAATGGCCTCATATCCTATGCTGTGCCCTCTGCAAATGAGAACTTATTGATATAGTGCCTCACAGTTTGTAAACTGATTTTATATACATTAGGTCTCAAGTACCCTTTGTCTTATAGGACAAGTGTCAATATATTTTTGTTTATTTTGTTTGTTTCTGCAATTTTATAAAGAGTACAAGTGATGCTGTTTTATGTCCTATTTGGAAAGCCTGAGAGTTTCTGGTTCCATAACCAGAAGCTGCTACCTAGCCCTTCTAACGGAATGGAGAGGTAGTTTATTCTTAGCCTGTCAAGCTCTGAACTTGCTCTGAATCTCAAGCTTTTCTATCTACAAAACACTCAGGGGCTTTCAACTGTTTTTCTATATATTAGATTTATTGGCACTAACTTTTTAAAAAGCGCGGGCACGCGTTCTCTGGTGCACTCCGCTTGCGCCCTGAGCCGCGCAAGCGCTGTGACGATAGGATGGTGCAGTTGGTACCTTTTGCGGTCCCCATTGGGGGTGAAAAAACCTTGCTGCTGTGGGAGCTGAGCTCTCGACCCACGGCCGAGGCCTTGCAAGTGAGACGAGCCGGAGCGGAGGGAGGGCTGGAGGAAGCTGCCCCGCGCCCCAGTAACTTGGTGCCCCGGGGTAGTGCTTCAGTACCTCATCTGCCTGTGGTCTCCGCTGAGAGGAATCTTAGTTCTAGAGATGGCCTGAGCAGCCAGCTCTCCCCCATAGATTTTGAGAGATAGTTCCCAACAGAAGGCATTGCCTCCTAATGCTTCTCGAAGCTTAGGATTTCAGACGGAACCTTGTTCATGAAATGAGAAGGGTTTGGAGTTCCAGGCTCACCACCTTTTACCTGTGGCGAAAGGCTGGGGGAATATAAGGGAATGGGCGGTTTGGTTTCCTGGGCCTGAAATTTACTGCACTTACTTAGCGTGGGACCGCCCTACAGCATTCTCTCTTCACAGTCCTCTCCCGGTTTGGCCTTCTGTATTCGGTCTGAGTCTTCCCAAACGCAGCAGTGGCCTGTCCTGGGTTCTATGCCATCATCAAGTTTTATTCAGCAATGGATGCCCACAGAGCCCAAAAGGCATGCGACCAGGAGCAGCTTTTTCACACATCTCCAGTGAAGGTGGGTCCAAATGTGGAATTCCTCGCTCTACTGGGATGATGTGCTGAATTTAAAACTAATAGTCCATCGGGAATTCCCTGGCTGTCCAGTGGATAGGACTCTGCATTTTCACTGCTGAGGGCCCGGGTTCAATCCCTGGTCTGGGAACTAAGATACCAGGGGAAAAAAAAAAAAAAAAAAGCCAGCATTTGTACAGCACTGTGGTGTACAGAATGCTCTCAGATGCACTGCTCCACTGATCCCCCAGTTCCCCAGTTGTTTCTTTTTTGTTAGATGAAGACACTCAAACTCAGGATGGTTAAGTGACTTACTTAAGGTTCATGACAGTAAACGTGGAAACTAGAGGCCAAACCCAAACTTAACTGATGTTAAACCCCATGTCATTTTATGCTGCCCCTTAATTTAAGAAATCTTCACAAGAGTCTTCCTAATATTGACTTTTATGTGGATTTTAAATGTGTGAGGTTGACAATTTTTTAAAAATTAATTAATTAATTAATTTATTTATTTTTGGCTGTGTTGGGTCTTGTTGCTGCGCGCCGGCTTTCTCTAGTTGCGGCGAGCGGGTGTTGCTCTTCGTTGCTGTGCGTGGGCTTCGCATCGCGACGGTTTCTCTTGTTTCGGAGCTCGGCTTCTGGGCACGCGGGCTTCAGTAGTTGTGTCTCACAAGCTCTAAGCACAGGTTCAGTAGTTGTGGCACACGGGCTTAGTTGCTCTGCAGCATATGGGATCTTCCTGGACCAGGGATCGAACCCGTGTCCCCTGCACTTGCAGGCGGACTCTTAACAATTGTGCCACCAGGGAAGTCCCAAGCTTGACGAACTTTTGTCACATGTAACATAAAGGAGGCTTCATCATCATCATCACTCTCAAACTGCCTATTCAGAACTCCCTTCGGATTCCAGAAAATGGGTAAAATATTCTTTAATGCATTGTAGAAACCTTATTCCATATCAACATGCCATCCAATTTTACTTTCCCAGAATTAACATTTCATTATGTGCCTCCATTCAGCCACCATTCCTTTTTCAAGGACCTTTTCAATTCCTCTGAATAAGTGAGTGAGGCTTAGATTTCCCAGACCTTTCCCTTTATAATTGTGTGTCTTCTCTGATTGGCTTCTTGCTCTGGCTACTTCCTACTGACCTTGCTGCCTATTCTCACCCACATTTCTTTTCTCACTGATTTCACCTATATTGAATCTGAGAACTCTCCTCAGATGGGACTCCAGGTACACTACCTCCCACTTCTGTAACCTATTTAACACCCACTTCAATCCTGGCTGTACTCCCTGGGATTGAAATGATTTTCTGTCAGACATTCTTTAATTTGCAGACCCTGCGACCATTTCACATACCACACAGATATTACAGATGGTCCTGGAAAGAGTATGAAACAGTTACTTGGTATCAGTTGTAAGTAATGAGTTCTTTTCTTATATTGGACATTAAGACCATTCCATAAGCATAGGTTGTGAGATTTTCACGGCATAAAGCCCGTCACCGACAGAGTAATGAAGAAAATGCTCTACAAGTCACTATAGAGTTGAGAGGAAAGGACATTCGTATTAGATTTCTTTATTTAATGCAGAGCCTTAGTTTACTACCCACACCCCCGAAATTATTTCCTTCTTTACTTATGCGTTCTTTTTCAATTTTATTTATTTATTTATTTATTTGCTTGTACCGGCTCTCAGTTGCAGCAGGTGGGCTCTTTAGTTGTGGCTCAAGGGCTCCCCAGTTGTGGCATGTGGGCTCCCCATTTGCAGCAGGCATGCTCCTTTAGCTGTGGCTTGCAGGCTCCTTAAATGTGGCATGCGAACTCTTAGTTGCAGCATGCATGTGAGACCTAGTTCCCTGACCAGAGATCGAATCCAGGCCACCTGCATTGGGACCAAGGAGTCTTAACCACTGCACCAGCACGGAAGTTCCAATTATGTGTTATTTTATTCATTGGCAGGTATACATACTTCTTAGCTTTTTTCCCCTGTGTTTTTTATAAATACAGAAAAGAGAATAACATCTTAAAATAAAATGAACGAAAGGCCTAAATGTATCTGAGTTTTTCTCAGTAGCACGAAGGGAAATGTTTGCCAGCAAGAACTGTGGCAAGGTTATTCCAGATGTGAACTGTCTCTACTACCCAGGGGCTCAGAGCCCTTCTCAAATGAAGCAGAAGTAGACTGAAGCCAGTTGACTAGAGGATTTGCCTGTTAACTAAAGTTTCCTGGGGTTAAAACTCATCAATCTCGTAAAGATTTGGCTGAATTACAATGTTTGCTTTACATTCAATTGATGTAGGATGAAGTCTTGCAATCCTTATTTTTAAGAATTAAGTAAATTTTACTTGTATAGGGTTATGAAAGCTCTTGGTCTGAACTAACCTAAATTCCTAGTCCAGCACTGATAGAATGGGTGTTATGTGTAGTAATCGTGTGGATATTATGATTGGTAATGATAGGAAGGTTATTTCTTTGTATGTTCAAATTGTTTTATTTTTTGTGTTGTTTAATGAAGGGAACATAGTTAGTGATGTGGAGTATGTTAGCTGCAAGTAGAAATATATGTTGAGGATGCTATGATGGCTATTAGTGTTGGTAGAATGATGTTATCATTTTTGGTATCTCTTGGGTAATTATTCATTTGCGTAAAAACCCTGGTAGTGATGGGCGATGTCCTAATGATACTATAATGGTGAGGAAAAGGATTGTGATGGGAGGTGTTTTATCTCATGTGTGTGATAACGATACTCTTGTAGTACATGATCTGGGCATAAATAAGAAGGAGAGTGTTGTTATGATATAAATTAGTATGTTTAGGACTGTTATAATTGGAATATACTTTATAATAGCTGTCATTCACCCTATATGGGCAATTGATGACGAGGGTGTAATTTTTTCCAGGTGAGTATGGCTAAGTCTGCCTCAGCCTCCAGCTATGATTTATAATATCACTATGATTAATAGTATATTTAGCTTGATGGATGGTGACATGTGGGATAAAACTGATAGGGGTGCAATGTTGTCAGGCTGATAGCATCAGGCCTGCTGTTCATGGGATGCCTTGTGTGACTTCAGGCACTCAGAAGTGAAATGGCGGAAGTCCTACTTTTGTGACAAGGGCGATTGTCATGAGGGTGGATGCTGCAGGATTAAAGATTTTTGTTATTCATTGTGTTCTTTGACCAGAGTATATTAGATTAATGATAATAGCCATTATAAGTAGTATTGATGTGGTGGATTGTTTTAGGAAATATTTGTTGGATGCTTCTGTAGCTTATGGGTTCGTGTTTTTTATTAGAATGGGGATACCATTAACCAGTGTGAGCTTGTTATACAATTATGTTTCCTGAGAAAATGGTCAGTAAAATGATAGTAAAAACAATGAGAGTTTATTAGTACAGGAAGGATATACGACAACATTTTGGGGGTATGGGCCTGAAGCTTACTTAGAGAACCTTACTATATAGCATGTGGTGTAATGTGGTAGCATGGAGAATGTAAAATTCTCAGGAAGAATTCAATTCCAGGAATAAGAGCATTGAAATCTCTATGATTTACTCTATCAAAGTAACTCTTTTGTCAGACATATTTCTTAAGTTTCTGGTGGGTTGCCTGGTATGATGACAGGTAGTGAAAACGCTCATATACATAGGGCTAATGTTAGTAGTAAAAAAAACTTTTTATAAGAGACGTATATGTTGATCATACCAAAATTCTGGGTAGGATGCTCAAATTCATAGAAAGGAGATTGTTAGATGTGTTTTAATGATGACTTGGGCTGTATATAATACTGGCATCTAGGGATTGTCGAATGCTCCTAAAAATAGATTGTTGTGGAAATGTTTATTTTACGGAAATTGACATATTCTCTAGGAAGGACAGGGTGAGTGGGCCTGCTACATTTTCTACATTGAAGACATATACAGGTTTTGATTCTACTTCTGTTAAATCAAGTGGGGCTTCATTGGATTTCTGCTACTGCGGAGATAATCAAATTCTGGGTAGCGGTCAGCAGAAAATTAGTCATAGGTATTCTCGTGTAATAATTACTGTTGAAAGTGTAAATGATCCATTTATCAGTAAGACTGAGAATGGAATAACTGCTACATTACTTCATATGAGATTGTGTGTGCTACTGTCCCTAGAGCTCCAGTGAGTGAGTATTTTGAATGTGAAGCTCATCCAGATCTAAGGATGGAATAAATGGCTAGGTGTGATATGGCTAATATAAATAATATGCCTACACTTATATTAATTAGTGGATAAGATATGGGAAGAGGAATTCATGTTGTGAGAGCCAGGGTTAAGGCTAGCATTGGGGCAATAATACATAAATTGATGATCTTGATGGATGTAGTGGTTCTTTAATAAGTAATTTGAATGCCTCAGCAATGGGTTGTAATAATCCATGGGGGCTGATGATTTTTGGCCCCTTCTGGATTTGTATATAGCCTAGGATTTTCCATTTAGTTAATATGAGGAATGCTATGGTGAATTAAATTGGGTCATTTGTGAAAGAATGTTGATTATAAACATCTTAGGAAGAGGACTTGAACCAGTGCAGATAAAGGTTTCAGTTTTACATAATTACTGGGCTCTGCCACCGTAACAAACCCGGTTCTACAGTAGGGTATGTACAAATTAATTGAATGTAGGTTATATCATCATTTAGTTTGCAGACATTTTGTAAAGTAAGCCGTATTGCTCTTGTCCTTTCATACTGGAAGAAATCTGCAATAGACAGAAAGCAACCAGGATGACTCCAGTCTGAACTCAGATCATGTGAGACTTTAATTGTTGAACAAACAGACAATTAATAGCAGTTATACCATTGAAATGTCGTGATCCAGCATCAAGGTCATAAACCATATTGCCGATATGAACTCTAGAATACAATTACACTGTTATCCCTAATAAAACTTGTTCCGTTGATCAGTGTTTTTAAGAACAGGTGATAAAGCATTTTGACTAGCTCGTCTAAATTTTAATCACTCAGAGGTGGTTTTATTCTCCAAAAAATAAATGGCGCATGGACTCAAGGCACACCGGCTTCAGTAGTTGTGGCGCACAGGCTCAGTAGTTGTGGCCCACTGGCTTATTTGCTCCGTGGCAGGTGGTATCTTCCCGGACCAGGGATCGAACCCGTGTCCCCTGCATTGGCAGGCGAATTCTTAAGCACTGCATCACCAGGGAAGTCCCAGAATCGCAGTCTCCCTTTTAATATACCTTAAGCCCAAAGAATCCATGGAAAATGGTTACAGAAAATAAGACAATAAAATATTGTAAGGACTATAATAGAAGCATATAGTACACAGTTCATACAGACACATCCCAAGCAGTTACAAAATATATTAAAAGGGAGGCTGCAATTTTATTCTTTTTTATTATTTTTTTAACATCTTTATTGGAGTATAAGTGCTTTACAATGATGTTTTATTTTCTACTTTATAACAAAGTGAATCAGTTATATATATGCATATGTTCCCATATTTCTTCCCTCTTGCATCTCCCTCCCTCCCACCCTCCCTATCCCACCCCTCTAGGTGGTCACAAAGCACCTAGCTGCTCTCCCTGTGCCATGCGGCTGAGGGAGGCTGCAATCTTAAAAGGATAAGATAAATTATACTCAAAAACTCCCAGTATTTCCTGAAACTTTGCAATCTGAAACCCTATTGTAGGAAGCCGAAGATTCCAGGAGACATTCTACAAATGAAGGACTCTAAACGCTGTGGTTGGATAAGGAATTCTGGAAGGAAGTTATCCTCACCCAAGGAGAGCAGGTTCCTATACTTCTCTAACATCACATCCCTGTACAATTCCCACTGATCTTGGTCCAGGCATTCTCACTCCTCTTGAGAGAAATCTATGGCCATATCCTGGAATGTCAGCAGTCCCTGAAATTAAAGGTACATATGCCATGTGGCCACAGGAAGAGTTCATAAGGTGACCCAAGAAGAAAACAGCAAGTTAAGAGAACTGGTTTTAATTTAGAACAGTGTCTTCAATTATCCAGTAATATATATATATATATATATATATATATTACAAAGTAACTTTCTGTACCTTATTTCTAACTACAAGAAAAGAGTATGGCATGTGATTCACAAAACCAGTATAGAGACTATACTTATCTGGAAAAGAAATGATAAAATGATGGTTTCAACACAGGCATATGCATTTTTGAATGTTTTATTTATATCAAATTGGATAAAATGTGTGTATTTCTCAGACAGAAAAGACATGTCGAGGTAGAAATGTACCTTTCAACTATTCATGGGTACACAGGTACACTGGGGATGTAAAAGTGCAGACTGTGATTCAGTAGGTACGGTGGGCCTGAGTTCTGTTTTTTTAACAAGCTTATTTTTAACTAATGATGCCACAGTCTTTGATCCATTAACGACAATTGTGAATATCAGAGACATAATTAGAAAGGTAAACATTCATATTTAATTTTGAACTTAAAGTGTTTTATGGATTTTACACCTTTAATAGGATAGTAAGCACAGCAGCAACAATCATTTGTGAATATTTACTATAGACCGTGTATCTTTCTAACTTTTTTGTGTAGGGTTCCAGGAAAAAGGCCTGGGCCGCGGTCACAGTTGGGGGGGGGGGCGGCCAGGCCGGGCCGCCCCTCCAGGACCCCCGACGGGGCCCTGCGCTCCTGGCAGCTCCCTGCACCGGCGCCCCCCTCCTACCGGAAGACCTCGGGGGAGAGCGGTCCCACCCCCTGTGCCCAAAACGGAGCCCGCGTTTCCACAGAGCTGGAACTCCCGCAGCTCGGGGTCTCTTCCCTCCACCGTCACGGAACTGCCCCGAAGGCCGAGGGGAGGGCGGCCTCACTGAGGCTGCCGGCTCTGGAGGGGCCCCGGCGGCCGAAGCAGCGACAGTCGTGCGGACGGCGGGCCGGGTAAGTGGGCGTCGACCCTCCGCCTGGTCCGGTGCCCGGGCGGCAGCGCAAGACCAGCTTCTGAGGGGCAGGGGTTCGCAGCCACCCGCCGCTGCTGTGTAGAAAGAGCGGCCCCCAGCGTCTGGTCCCGGGGAACTTCGGTCCCTCCTCTCCCCCCTGCCCTCCGCCTGGCTCGCGGGGCCTGGGGGCTGTGGGGAGGGGGTCGGCCTGAGCGTCCGGAGGGGAAACGGGGCAAGGGAGGCGCAGGGTCCGGCTGCAGCGTCAGCGCCCCTCCTCCCGACTGCGGGGAAAGTGGCTGAAAACTCCCCCGGAGGCTCGCAGGCCCCTTATTCATCCGAGTCCCTCTGCGCTCCTTCCTCCCTGAGCTAAAGTACCGGGGAGGAGGGGACAGGGCAGGGGACTGGCGCAGGTAATGGGGGACACCAGAAGGTGATTGTTAACTAAGGAAAACCTGCTCTCCCAAGGTGAGGAATGCAGCGCTTTTCTTTGTATACGAAGATGCCAGAGCCTGGGCTCACTGAAATCCTTCCTTTGATATGCACCTCAGCTCCCTGGGGCCTGCATTCTGTATTTGCATATTCTGAATTCCTCAGGGCCCGCGGCTCTCACTGGAGGGCTGCAAGTGCTGATGACTGTGACATCCTTTGTTTACTGAGCTGGCAAGAAATATTCCATTTCTCACAGGCTTGAGGGGCAGACAGTGAAAAAGTGTCAGAGAATCTCACTCAGCATGTACTTTGGTTTACATATAGATGATATTTATACGTAACTGTACTAATAGAGGTTCTTAAGTCCCATCAACTTGTACTACTGCCCTCTAGGTATTCATTTCATCAATATCATAAGATAAATGCCTATAGAATTGACTTAAGCCATTTAAATAGGATAATGATTTTTAAAGGAAACATAATAGAAATATAACCAGAAAACCTTTACCACTAAAGGCTGGGTCTGGAACAGCCTACATAAATGTTCCATTGTTAAAATATTGAAAGATGTATTCACTGGAAATATCAACAAAACTGACAAATAATAAAGGCAGCAGAATGTTGAAATGTTCTGTCTTTATCATTAAAGAAAATCATTTATTAGTAGGCACTGGGGGCAGAAGATGCCTGATTTTATATCTTTGTCATATTTGTACAGTTGTTTCAACAAGTAACTTAAAGACAAAATGGAAAAACGAGGTTTGTGCCTGAGATCACGTTGATGTGAAACCAGGGATGGCCACCTTGTGCCAGGTGAGTTAAGTTTACCTGGCAGGTAGAATGCAGAGCTCCTGAGAAGCAAGGGTTGGAGTTTTTCTGCTGGGTGCCCCTTAGGTTCTGTGACTTGACTGATTGTGAGTCATGTTTCGGGAAAGACCTGATCACAGGAAAAGGGTGGGAATAGAGTGATTTGGGGAGCAGCTAACATCATTCATCACGGCTCACAGCCTGAATGAATTTTAAAGAAACAGGAAAACAAATGCTTCTTATGGAATCAGAGAATGTGAGGGCTGGACAATCCCAGAAAATGAGGAACACCCGTCCCATTTTCCAGATGAGAAAACGGAGGCCCAGCAAGGTGAAATCCCTCACCCAAGTTGCACCCGTCTCTCCTCCCCACTACATGGTTCATGAAAGTAGGACTCTTCCTGTCGTGATCACTGCTGAACCCCAAAAAGGGCCAGGCATCTAGCACCTGCTCCAAAAAATTTTGTTTGACTGTAGGAACAATGCTATTTCTTTCTTTCTCACTCTTATTCACGATTGTGCCAAGAACTCCCTAGTTTTCAATGTAATTCGATAAATGTAAATATTAATTGAGTTTTGTTTTGATGAGGACTTAGGCTTTGAAGGTAACAGACTTGGTTCAGATCCTGGTTCTGCCACTCAATAGCTGTTTGGCTTTGGGAAAATTACTAAACCTCTCTGAGCTTATTTCCTCCTTTGTAAAGTGGGGATAAATGTATCTGAGCCAGCAGAGCACCTGCATGAGAGATGTGGACTAAATATTGATCTTTCTCACTCTCCCACGCCATCTCTCTGTTCTTCCCAGAGAAGTTGGACAGAAGGATATAGTACTTTTTTTTTTTAATTAATTAATTAATTAATTTTTGGCTCTGTTGGGTCTTCATTGCTATGCGCGGGCTTTCTCTCGTTGTGGCCAGCGGGGGCTACTCTTCGTTGCGGTGCGCGGGCTTCTCATTGCGGTGGCTTCTCTTGCTGTGCTTGTTGTGGAGCACGGGCTCTAGGTGCGCGGGCTTCAGTAGTTGTGGCCTGCAGGCTCAGTAGTTGTCGCACATGGGCATAGCTGCTCCGCGGCATGTGGGAACTTCCCTGACCTGGGCTCGAACCCGTGTCCCCTGCGTTGGCAGGCAGATTCTTAACCACTGCGCCCCCAGGGAAGTCCGATATAGTACTTTATAAAGAGGGGTTTTAATTTATTTCAGATAGTGTACATGTTTCTTGTAGAAAAGATTATTTCACTATAGAAACATTAACACACGATACCACTACAAATGCAGTATTCTATGGACTAGATCTTATCAGTAGGTTTTATAAGTAATTGGGCAAATGCCAAAGCACTAGGTACTGGGGAGTAAGAAGACTCAAATCTAGGGTGCCCCCCACGCCAATTTTAAGAGCAGGGTGTGTTTTGCAAATCCATATTTCATCTGGTCTTTGTTTCTCATCCATCCTCTGTGTCTGCCTCTCAAGAAGGCTCAGATCCTCCGCTTTCACACCCTCCCGGCTGGCTGTGCTCCAGCTCCCGTCCTGAAACCTCTGCATGCATGGGTGTGCCTGCTCTCCCTGTGCGTCACCAGCTTTGCCAGGGAGCTGCTGTATCGTGCACTGCTTGCTGTACCCCAGAGTACCTAGACTCTTCTGCTACATGAAGTACACTCTCATCACCATGAGTGCACGCCCATCCCCTTACCTTATATCCTGCCTCTAAGCCAGGCTTGGGGGTGACTACAGTGTGCATTCAGCTATGTGAGGTGCTGGGATCAAAGTGAAGTTCCCAACTTTTGAAGTTGCAAGTTTGAGGGGCACACAGTGATTTAAAGTCTGGTCACCTGGCTTAAAGCGGGGGGCTGATTGATTTAAAGCCAGGGCAGCTGACTTAAAGCTTACGTCCCTCAGCTGCAGGACGAGACCAACTTTGGGGATGCACGGGTTCACTCTAAGCCAGCACTGCTGTTCAGGAAGAGCTTCCAGTAGCGCCTTAGTGCAGGGGAACTTGGTACGTTGTCTTACCCCTGCCCTCAGAGGGGTGCCACCTGCTCTTCTGGAGGAGAATCAGGGAGGGGGAAGTGCAGAGTCCCGGCTGGAGTTGCGGCACCCCTTGTCTGATGGCAGGGAAGGGGGGGCGGGGCTGTGTGGTGTCCTGGGGCTGGACTCACCAGGTCGACTCAGCCTCTCAGCCTCCTAACCTCCCCCCACACACCCCACAAGAGTTTCCAATAATATGTAATTGCGCCTTAGGTTCTCGGTCTTCAAACTCATACCCAGGCTCCCAGGTCCCTTGATTCAGCCAATTCCTCTGTGCTCTTTTGTCTATTAGATACAGTCCCAGAGGGAGGGGCTTGGGGATGGGACTGGAGGGACCCCGGCAGCACTGGCCTTTGCTGACTAAAGAGATCCAGGGCCTGCGCTCTCACCTATGTCCGAGGACCCTTAAGGTGGAATCGAGGGGGCCAGTTAAAGGCAGTCCTTGCTGCCTCAAGTGAGTATGGATCACCGTCCGGTAGGGAGCACGCTGACCCCTGAGAAGCACTGTCAGGAGGATGTGTTCCTCCCTTGGCTTCAAGGACGTGGGTGGACTTCAGGGCTCCAGTTCCCTTCCAGGCCTCCAGATCCGACTGCACCCCAGTGGCCTTGCAGACCTGTCCTTCCTGTCCCAGAACTTTCCAGGCTCCAGGAAAAATCCAGACTGCAGAGATGGTGCCTGAGGGCTCCCGCTTAAGAAGTCCTGTCCCTGGGGACCCAACAGTGGCGGGAGGAAGGGTGAAGGGAGTAAGGGAGTAGGGGAGTGGGGTAGGGAGGGGTGGCTGCCCTGGGAGTTGTTGAGAGAGAAATATCGCCTCCCACACCCCCGCCCCCTGCAACTGACCCATTGATGCCATAGGATCTCAGGGCTGTTTAGTCAGAGATGCCTATGTTTCTTTACTCCTGTGTTCAAAACTATGCGAAACCAACTCTTCATCCTCTTGCTGCCTTGCCAGGACTTTTAAAGCACTGTTGTTTTGAAGCACTCGTTCCCTAAACTGCAGTTTGGAGCTGTCCCAGCTATTTCAAAGTGTTCTCCTTAAACTGAGACTAAATCCTACTCTTTTGGAAAAACGACCTTCACTTCAGAGGAGATCGTCTTTTCTGCCCATTCCTTCCTTCTACTTCCCTCTTAAGCACCCCTGTGCTCAAAGAGCTTGGTGATTTATTTTCTGCTTGATGTCAAAAAGAAACCTTCCTCATGCACCCCGAAAAGCTTTCCTTGAACATAGGTGTTTCAAAACCATGACAGTGTTTTGCAGTTAGTATACACTGGGTAGACTGCCTAGCGATCCCTCCAAGAGCCAGATTTGAGCGACACCTTTACTCATTTGATTGCATGCCCTTCAAATTTAGGAAGGTCCCATTCTTATGCCCCAGCAGATAAGACAGAGACCTGGATGGCTGTGGCTGTGATTAGATAACTTCTGATGATTTTATTTCCCTTACTGAGCTGCTGCTTCTAGGTTAAATTCACTTTACTACCTGTCCTTTTTTTTTTTTCTTTTTTTGGCAGTATGCGGGCCTCTCATGGCATGTGGCATCATCCCGGACCGGGGCACGAACCCGTGTCCCCCGCATTGGCACGCGGACTCTCAACCACTGCGCCACCAGGGAAGCCCTACATGTCCATTTTTAAAGAAAGACTGACAAAGGCACTGTAATAGGTAAGGAGTCTGAGC